GTGGGGAGCGGGTGGGTCTGGGATGGGGGGCTGGGGGACGGTGCCGCGGTAACCGAGGGAGGTAGTAGGCACCGAGGGAGGAGGGACTTGCATTCTTGCGGTGCTTTTTCAAGTACTGCAGACCCTCGCCCCGCCTTTCCAGCCTGCGAGGGCTGGCTTGGGGCTCGAGTCGTCTCGGGCAGCTCGCAGGGACTGAGCGCGCGCTGCCTCCGCGCCCGGCAGGTTCAACAAACACCTGGACCGCGGCTTTAACTCGTGCGCGCGCAGCGACTTGTACTTCGTGCCGCTGGAGGGCTCCAAGCTGGCCAAGAAGCGGGCCGACCTGGTGGAGAAGGTGCGACGCGAGGCCGAGCAGCGCGCGCGCGAAGAAAAGGAGCGCGAGCGCGAGCGGGAACGCGAGAAAGAGCGCGAGCGCGAGAAGGAGCGCGAGCTGGAACGGAGCGTGGTGAGTGCGTCACCACATGCGCCTCCCGCCTTCTGGTTTTCCCTTTACGCCGTGCGGGGAGGCTCCGGAGGCGGGGTGGTCATTGCGCCACCTCTTGGAGAGGAGGAAGCACTGCAGCCCAGGAAATGGAGATCAAAGGACTCCTGCAAAAGGAATGCTTGGGTTGGGGGAAGGACAGATCAGGTCAGACTACCTGTGGGATGTAAGAAGAGCCACTATTTAGGAGAAAGGGGGTAGGGAAATCCCTGGTAGTCTGAGTTCCAATACGCTGAGGTATTTTGGTATTCAGCTGCTGAGTTAAATGAGCAGCTCTGGACTGGCCACCTTTTAAATTTATTTTTAGAGAAAGGAAGGGAGAGAGAGAAAAACATCAATATGAGAGAAATATCGATTGGTTGCTTCCCACACACGCCCGACCAGGGATCAAATTTGCAACCTGGGTGTGTGCCCTGACTGGGAATCAAACCCACAACCTTTTGGTGTGCTGGACAATGTTCCAGATAACTGAGCCACACCAGCCAGGGCTTGGCCACCTCTTTATAGAACTGTTCTGACTCCTCTTCTTCCTGTACTCCACAGAAGTTGGCTCAGGAGGGCCGTGCTCCAGTGGAGTGCCCATCTCTGGGCCCAGTGCCCCATCGCCCTCCGTTTGAGCCGGGCAGTGCTGTGGCTACAGTGCCCCCCTACCTGGGTCCTGACACTCCAGCCCTGCGCACTCTCAGTGAATATGCCCGACCCCATGTCATGTCTCCTGGCAATCGCAACCATCCATTCTATGTGCCCCTGGGGGCAGTGGACCCTGGGCTTCTGGGTTACAATGTCCCAGCCCTATACAGCAGTGACCCAGCAGCCCGGGAGAGGGAACGGGAAGCCCGAGAAAGAGACCTCCGTGACCGCCTCAAGCCTGGCTTCGAGGTGAAGCCCAGTGAGCTGGAACCCCTACACGGGGTTCCTGGGCCTGGCCTGGATCCCTTCCCCCGACATGGGGGCCTAGCTCTGCAGCCTGGACCACCTGGCCTGCACCCTTTCCCCTTTCATCCGAGCCTGGGGCCCCTGGAGAGAGAACGTCTGGCGCTGGCCGCTGGGCCAGCCCTGCGGCCTGACATGTCCTACGCAGAGCGTCTGGCAGCTGAGAGGCAGCACGCAGAAAGGGTGGCAGCCCTGGGCAACGACCCACTGGCCCGGCTGCAGATGCTCAATGTGACCCCTCATCACCACCAGCACTCTCACATCCACTCTCACCTGCACCTCCACCAGCAGGATGCCATCCATGCAGGTGAGGCTCCTACTTCTTTCCTTGGCCCCCATCAAGTGGTTGGGCTCTTCTATTCATCAAGCCAGCACTTCCCTAGTCTGGAATGAGCTCTCTTGAGTGCTGCCCTGATCTTTGCCTTCCTGTCATCCACCAGCCTGTCACTTCATACCCTAGTCTTGCCACAAAGACTATTCCCCGCCCCCCCCCAACACACACATACTGCTCTTCAGAGTCTAGCATCCCACCCGTGATAGAGGCCAAAGTTGGAAACCTTTGAAAGAGTACCACCTTTCCACTGTTACAGCTCCTTTCCCCCAACCCCTCACATACCCGTTGTCTTGCTCCTCTAGATTCAACTCTGTTGTGGCTTTTTGCCATCTTTTCTTCTCCTAGCTGTAGGCCTTTTATGTTCCTCCCCATCTCTGTGCCTTTTCTTTCTTTCTTTTTTTCTTTCTTTCTTTTTTTTGTGGTATGTGCCCCTAGCGGAAATTGGACCCAGGACTCTCCGGTCTGCAGGCCGATGCTCAACCGCTGAGCCAAAGTGGCCAAACTTTCAAAAAGAGCCTTGTAGCTGTGGTGGTGGGCGTCATATGTGATAAATGAGCTTTACTTACTGTCTCTTCACTATATTTCTCATCACTCAATCTAGCCTTACAATCATGTTATTCCAACGTCCCTTGAGCTTTCTTTTTCTTAACTTCCATTCTCTTCCTGTCTCATTTTCTGAACTTTTGTCTTCTTCCATCTCCTCTAAGCAGTCCACCTCTCTCTTTCCTTTTCCTCAGACTCCTCTGACAACTGTAATTTGTCCTCTGCCATCAGTATGTCCATACTCCAGTAGCGTCTTATGCTGTCCATTGTGCCTCCTTGTTCCACTCTGGATCTCCCTGTGTTTGATTTTCCAGCTCTCTTCCCAGGCTTGGATCCCTTCACCTACATGCATGGTTTTCCCCAAACCTGTTTTCTGGTAACACCTTCCTCTTCTCTACCCTCCAGCCTCTGCCTCGGTGCACCCTCTCATTGACCCCCTGGCCTCAGGGTCTCACCTTACCCGGATACCCTACCCAGCTGGGACCCTCCCCAACCCCCTTCTTCCTCACCCTCTGCACGAGAACGAAGTTCTTCGTCACCAGCTCTTTGGTAAGGTTGGAGGCTGGGAGTGGTGAAGGTCTAATGAGAGAAAGGCAGAAAGGAGGGGTTTGCATAGTGGGATTGGCCTAGTTGGTCTTGGGGAGGGGTGAGGAGGTGCCCAGAAGAGCTGGGAATGGGAGTAGGAGGTCTAGAGCTCTGCCTAAGAGAGGCATAGGTTTTAGTGCCAGGCCAAGAAGTTTGAATTCTAACTCCACCACTGGCATTTTGCAGGACTGGCTATTACCTAACTTTTTTAGTCTCAGTTTCCTTTGTATGTAAAGTGGTTGGCTATCTCTTGGCTCAGAGTAGGTCATCAGTCATGTGCCCCCTGCCCTCCTGCCTACAGCTGCTCCTTACCGGGACCTGCCAGCTTCCCTCTCTGCCCCGATGTCAGCAGCTCACCAGCTGCAGGCCATGCACGCACAGTCTGCTGAGCTGCAGCGCTTGGCGCTGGAGCAGCAGCAGTGGCTGCATGCCCATCACCCGCTGCACAGTGTGCCACTACCTGCCCAGGAGGACTACTACAGGTACTACCAGGCACCCCTAGGCCAGGAGTGAGGAGATGTAAGCCTAGGATGCGGTGTGGGCATGGTATAACTGGGCTCTAGGCTCCTGGGGGAGGGACCCCTTCCTCCATCCCTGAAAGGGGGTCAGGTCAGGTTCAACCTCAGTCTCTCATCTCTGTTCTGCACCCTATCTCTCCTAGTCACCTGAAAAAGGAAAGTGACAAGTCACTGTAAACCTGCAATCAAGAGAGCACCCATGGCCTGAGTGCATCTGGACCTTGGAGGTCTCCCAGCCTGCCACCCAGAGAGAGGAGGGTTGTTGCCCAGTTGCAAGGCCTCAGCAACTGGGCAGAGGGAGGGAGGAAGGGACAGATGGAAGACTGAGGCTCCTGGGGTGTGTAGAGGTGGGAAGGTGGTGGGGGCGGGGGCTGAAAGCGCACAGTATCTTGGACCAGGTCCCTCTTCCTTGTTCCCCTGCTTTCTTCCTCTCCCATGCTCAATCCCTGTGGCCACCACAGCCCCCTCCCGGACCCCATTGGTGTGATTATTTCATCTGTTAGATGTGGCTGTTTTTGCGTAGCATTGTGTGCCGCCCCTGCCCCTCCACAGTCCCGTGTGCGCGCCCCACTCTGCAATGTATGCCCCTTCCCCTCCCTGCCCCACATTAATAATTTATATATATAAATATCTATATGACGCTCTTTAAAAACATCCCAAACAAAACCAACCAAACAAAACATCCTCACTATTCCCAAGGAAGATGGCTGTGAGTCGTTATTTGCGGGATATGGGGGCGGGGGTCTCTGCGCAGACATCCCTTTACTCCTGCTCTTGAACATTTTGTTGGTTCTATACGTGCAACGTCTGTTGTTCTATGGCGTCCGTCTCCGCCCAACCTGCGGCCCTGAGCGCCGAGAGACCTGGAAAGTTGGAAGGGGTGGGCCTTCAGAAGGAATTGGATAGAGGGACCTTGGACCGTTGGAGAGGGTACCTACCACCCGAGCTACTAGTCCCCTTCCCCCAAGGCTGGCAGGCTGAAGACCTGGGACAAGCAGCCTTTGCCAAGGTCAGGTCTAGGAAATACTGACTTTTGAGACATTTGTTCTACTGGCCGGCCACAAGTCTGAATCCTTTCCATAAAATAGTTTGAGACACGGTTATGAAGCACAGGTGCAAGAGCCGTGGTTTCGGATTAAAACGATTAAGTCCCAGGAGTAACTACCCCATGGTTTGAGAAGAGCGTAGAGTAGGTGACGATTCCAAACGCCTAGAAGAGAAGACAAATTAGAGGGCATTACGCTGCAGTGCACATTCCTATACAAGGCCCTTTTAGGAAAGCGAGAGAGCTGTTTTATTTCCAAGCTTTTATTGCTGCAAATCACTTCCTCCGTTCTTAAAAACTAAAGGGTGAGACTGGCTTCCCTCAGCCAATCGGCATCGATCTCATTTGCATAAACTCGTACCAAATGTTTGCAAACTCTAGAAATGAACAATATGAATGAGTTCCTCAGAATACTGTTTTTTTCTCGTGAAAGTTACAGTGTGCTTCGTTGCTTATACAGCGATAGGGATTAGAAAAATCCGCTCTGAGCTCACCCTCACTAATATTGGAGTTCACGGATATTCCATGATCTCTCTAGAACACTTCCTGTAGTGCTTACAGCTCTTTTTGAATTTGTCTAGTAGGTCTTCCGGTTTTTACCGGAAGGCCCTTCCTATTATGCAAGTTGCGCTTAACAATAGATCTACTTAAAACTATGGGTAGGTAGGTATATTGTATTGTTTAGTTTCTTAAAGTCTTATGAGTGTACTTATACATTTTAAAGTTTGAAGAACTCTGTGTTGGTGGGCACTTTCGATTACGCTTGAGAAACTTCCGGCTCAGACTGATGCTGTGTTCTCCCAGTCTTCATCCTAGAGGGCGGGCTCCGGAGACATCCCTTTACTCCTGCTCTTGAACATTTTGTTGGTTCTATACGTGCAACGTCCGTTGTTCTATGGCGTCCGTCTCCGCCCAACCTGCGGCCCTGAGCGCCGAACAGGCCAAGGGTGAGGTGCATAGCGTCCTAGTCACCGGGTGGGCTGCCTGCGGGGGGAGGAGGAGGAGGACGGTGCTGGCGGAGGATAACAGAACGAGAAATGTGCTTGCTTTTCCGGTAAACGGGGAGCGGGTACCATCTTTCTCCCTTCTCTAAGGGGTACCCTGGAGAGAGGGAGTCGGGGCCGTGTTTGGCGGGTTACTAAGGCTTCAGTACCTGTCCTCGTCCCTTTACTGTGGCTGGGCCTGCTGGCCGTGCTCTGATATCTACCCCCGGACCCCACCCTGGGTTGCATCTGCCACAGTGGTTCTGGCCGAGGTGATCCAGGCGTTCTCGGCTCCTGAGAACGCCGTACGCATGGACGAGGCTCGGGACAACGCGTGCAACGACATGGGCAAGATGCTGCAATTCGTGCTGCCCGTGGCTACACAGATTCAGCAGGAGGTTATCAAAGCCTATGGCTTCAGCTGCGATGGGGAAGGTGGGTAGGACGGGGGTGGGGTGGGGTGGGGTGGGTCTGGGTCTGGGAGAAAGGGTGCTGGATCTGTTGGGTCCTTTCTGTTGGGTCCCTGAGCTGTCCTCTCCCTTCTCGCCACACGGAGGCAGCCACAATCTGACTAACAATATTGGCGCTGGGATCCTTGGGTCTTCTCTGAACTGTGCCAGATGAAGTCCTGTTATTTATTTGTTTATTTATTTATTTATGTCCTCACCCAGGACATTTTTGCATTTATTTTCAGATAGAGCGAGGGGAAAGAGGGAGAAACATCCATGTGAGAGAGACACATGAACTGGTTGCCACCCACACGACCCCAACCTGATGGGGACAAACTGCAACAGAGGTATGAGCCCTTAGCGAAAACTGAACCTGGGTCTCTCTAACCGCTGAGCCAAACCGGTCAGGGCTGAAGTCCTGTTTTTTTACCATTAATTATACCATTATTTGTTTTTTTGTTTGTTTTGTTTTGTTAATTCTCACCCGAGGTCATTTCCCATTGATTTTTGGACAGAGTGGAAAGGAGGGGGAGAGAGAGAAACATGAGAGAGACACATCAATTGGCTGCCTGCCCCACCACCCTGACTAGGGCGCGGGGTGGGGGGGTGGGGGAGTGGGGGAGTCAAAATTGCAACCCAGGTACTACCCTTGACAGGGAATCAAACCTGTGACCCTTCAGTCTGCGGGCCAATACTTTAACCACTGACCCAAACCGGCCAGGGCTATTATTCCATTTTAAAATGAGGAAACAGACTCTTGTAGTAAACTAAGAGCTGGACACCCTGGCCAGTTTGGCTCAGCGGTTGAGCATTGACCTGTGGACCACAGAGTCCCGGGTTCGGTTCCTGCTAGGGGCACGTACCGCAAAAAAACTAAGAGCTGGAGGTCACAGCATATCTGGACCTGAACTCAGTTCTGAAAGCTTTTAGTGAGATGTCTGCGTGTCAGCAGGCTTCTGCAGCCCCTCCAAGTTTGAGGGTTGGAAGTTCAGTTTCTTTGATGAGATCATGCTGTTCCCCAAGGGTGTATCCTGATGTAGGCCCATGGCCCACCTGTACTGTAGTTATAGATGTGGGATCTTTTGTGGGTGTTCATACTTTGGATTCCTGTAACTAAGTTGCTAAAACTGTTCCCCTGATATTGAGAAGCACACTGCTTTGGGACATTTCCATTCATTGTATCCCATCTAGTTGTGCCCAGTGTACACCAGGAAGTGGTTGATCTAAACCCCACAGCATAGAAGCCTTGCATGTGCCTTGTTTTGCAGACAGAAGGGAGCAGCCAGTGACTCATGCTCAAGCTGCCCCCTCTCCTTTTCTTGGGCACCTCCATTCCTGGGAATGTGGGTTGATGCTCGGATCCCCCTTGCAGGTGTCCTTAAGTTTGCCCGCTTGGTCAAGTCTTACGAAGCCCAGGATCCCGAGATTGCCAGCCTGTCGGGCAAGCTGAAGGCACTGTTCCTGCCGCCTATGACACTGCCGCCCCACGGGCCTGCTTCAGGTGGCAGCATAGCTGCCTCCTGAGGGTTGGTGTCCCAGAGGATAATAAACATGCCTGTGATTTAGCCTCAGTGTCAATCTTTTGTAACCTGACAACCCCACTTCCTCGCCCCCCAATTCCCTCTGCTATTCCAGTTGCTCATACCCCTGTCCAGATCCTTCCTTTGCTCTTGCTGGGCCCAATCCTGCTACAGGGCAGGGTAGGAGGGTGGACACGCCCCTCAACACTTTGGGTGGTTGGGCCTGCCCTGGCAGCACCTCTGCTGAGGAGTGGGGTTTCCTGGGCTTTTCCTGAGGCCCCTTGGTGGCTGTGGCCCAAGATGTTCCCCCATTGGTGGTTGTTCACTTGGCCAGGGTTACTTCCTGGTTCTTGCCCCACCCACCCTCCTGCTGCCTTGTCAGCTTGAGCTCCAGGTGGAGCTCCAGGTGACTCCTCCCCTCCCGGTGGAAGGAGGCCCTGGACAGGCAGGCAGGCAGGCCCTGGACTCTCCACCAACTGACGGAGAAGTAGGGCTGGAAGGAAAAGCAGGCTGCTGTGGGCGGTTTGAGGCCAGCCCCACCCCACCTGTCCCTTTTATGGGGATCATTAGTACAGGGGCTTGTTCCTGTGGTATCATTGGCCTGGTAGAATCATCGAGGAGGAAGTGGCAGAGTTCAGAGCATTCTTCACCAGGTTTGGGCCACTGCAAAGCTGCATTTTGGGCTCAGCCCCACCCCGTGGCCCTCTGTCTGTGACTCCCCCATCTCTCTGGGGAGATGCTGTCCCGTGGGTAAGTCCCCTGCTCCACTTGGGTGTTACAGTCTCCTGTTAGTTTGGAGGGAGGGGCAAGGTTCATGCTCACTCCTGACAGGTGTGTGACCATCAGTGCAATCTGTCACTGCTCCCTGCTCTGGGTCTGCATCCTGTCCCTATCCTCAAGTTTTGAGGAACTCCAGGCTCATTCATGCTCCTGCTGGAGGGGGGACTCCCTCCCTTCTCTGGCACTTTTCCCTGACAGATGTGTATTTATTCTCGCCATTGCATTTCTCTCTCCATCCTCTGATTCCCTGTTTCTGCTTCTGCTCTCTGCTTAAGTAAGACCTGTCCCCTGGGTAGCCCACATCACCTGAAACATAATGTGTCTGAAAGGCAAACCTGAGAAAGCTTGCCTTCGTTCCACTTTCTTTCACTTCTTTACTTCCCCTCCCCTGCATCCTTCATACAACAGACACATGGTGAGCATCTATTGTGTGCCAGGTACTTTTTAAGGTTCTGGCAATATTGTGGTGGACAGGATGGACATAGTCCCTGCTCTTATGGAGCTTCATTTCAGTGGGAGGCCACAGACTACACAAAGAACCCAATAAATGGGAGAATTTCAGATTCTCAGAAGTGAAAAGAAACAGCTTCATATGCTAGCAGGTGACTGGGGCTGCCGATGGCATCACTAGCAGGAGGGATCAGGGAGGGCTTCCCTGAAGAAGGTACAAGTGAGCTGAGACTTGGATGGTGCAGAAGAGCCAGCCAAACGCCCCTGGGCAGAGGGAATGATGACGGAGAGTCCTTGCTGTGGGAACAGTGACACAGGACAGTGTGCCTGAAGCAGGGTAAACTGGCGGAGAGGAAGGCAGGGCCCAGGCAGGCCTGTTGGGAGTTTGGATCTTATAGTGAAGACCTGCTTGGAGTGTTGGTGAGTTGGTGGATTGATCACCCCTTTCTTTTCCATTTGTGCTGCCTTTCCCAGTGCACACCTTGTAATTGTCAGCCCCACTGATAGGGTTCTTATCTAGTCTTCTTGTCCCTGCACCCTTCCATACTTCTGCCATGATGGTTTCCCTACCTGGTGGTTAGTAAGGCCTCTCCTGGTGCAGAATCCTTCTTTGGTTCCTCAGCCTGGCCTTGTATGACTCTGCAACAGGTCCCAGCCTCAGAGCAGCTTCGCAGCAGCCTCCCTGCTCTGCTCGCCCCCCAACCCCGCTCCAGTGGGTCCTGTGCCTGCCACCTTGGAGTGGCTTCTGCAAGAGCACCCGCCCTCCAGCTTCCACTGTGGGCCTGCCAGCACCCCCACCCCATTGAAGTCTGCTCCACCAGTACCTGTGGTCAATGTGCGGGGAAGATCAACAGGCTTTGGGGTCAAATAGCTTTGGTCTGTCCCCCTTCTCACTCATAAGCTTGTGACCTTGGACAAGTTAATGTCTTTGAGCCTTAGTTTCTGTTTTTAAAATTGGGCTAATAAGTCCTACTGAATAGGGTTGGTATGTGGATTAATTTGTAATGTAAAAGCTGTTAGCACTATTAGTACTGTGAAGCCCATTTGTCAGGTGTGGCTGAGGTGTGAGGCAGTTCAGTAACTTTCTAGAGATTATTTCACCTTGTTTGCTCTTCTAGGCTTCTAGGTGCATCACCACTGATCTCTATCTCTACCTTTATCTCCCTGCTTCCCAAGTGAATAATTTTATCTTCTGAACTCTTAGGCACAGACTTTTGTAACTCTCAGCCTCCTCGAGGCTGTTTTCCTCCCTTAAAAAGGTGGGGAAAATAATCCCTGTATCACGGGGATATGTGAGACCCAGGTGGGCTGCGTGCACAAGTGCTCTGCAGACACCAGGGCGCTTACATCAAGGTAAGGAAGATGCTGGTGTTTACTTCCCTGTTAAAGGGACAGCAGAGACTGTATGTCTTACCTTAGTGTCTGTCTTTTGGCTTGACACCCTTCAGAACACAGTCGTCCCTCGCCACTTCGCGCTTCGCCTTTCGCGGCTTCGCTCTATCACGGTTTTTCAAATACATTCATTAAAAAGTTGATCAAGACAGTGAAAATGATACAGTGCGCGCTCGGTTGTCTGAGTCAATTATACACCCCTGTATTACAATTAAAATTAAAATTGCTGTACGTATGGACTGTAGGCCTGTGTATTCAAGCACCCCAGGATCCTTCAATGCCAGGTGCAACCGCTAGAGTCTCGAATGGATTAACGATAAACGAGGGACGACTGTAACCCCTGCCTCTTCCGTGGGTCAGGAGTAGTTTCTGGGTGCCTAGCTAGGTTCTTCCTACCAAGTGAGTTTATGCCCCAGAAGGAGAATGGTCTGGGGCTGGGGTGCAGCGGGTGTTCAGTGCTGAGGAACTTTGTGTGGGGTTAGGGTGGTGTGTCCATGTGGGTACTTGTACCGGACTAGGTATGTGTGTAGATGGACATGGGTGATGAGGTGCTTGTAGTGGGACTGTGTGCATAGATGGATGATTGTGTGTGTGTGTGTGTGTGAGTGTGTGCATGTCTATATATGACAAACTGGGGGTATATGTGTAGGTCCAGGAGCTGGACTTGTGACCATGTACGTGCATAGGTATTGATGAATTTGTTTGCTGGAGGCATTGTGCTAAGCTTTAAACTTTTGGAGGTGAGCAAAACTGGTAGTGGACCCCCTTTGGTGGTGTGGACCATGCAGCCACTCTCCCTGTCCTTGCTGTGGGAGGGAGTTCATGGTCTTTCAGTGTGACTGTCCAAGACTGAGCAGGAGCCCTGGCCCAGCAGCTCAGTTGGTTAGAGCGTTGTCCCCATACACAAAGATTGTGGGTTCAATCTCCAGTTAGGGCACATAAAAGAAGCAACCAATGAATACATAATTAAGAAATCAATGTTTCTCTCTCTCTAAAAATATCAATTTAAAAAATGTAAAAAAAAGACTGAAGGGGTAGTCAGTGTTAGACCATGTAATAAACATGCCAGTCAAGTTCCCCAGAATACCAGAAAGAGGAGAAAAAAGCCCTTTTTTTGGGAGGGAGCACAGGATTGATGTTTGACATTTCAAACAATTATATAGTAGCTAGCCTAGGAAAAACAGACTTTTGTTGGGCTTTTACACTTTGTTATTTTTTCCTTATTTAAAATATTTTTTTCTTTATTATTATTATTATTTTTTAGAGAGCGAGGAAGAGAGAGACAGAAACATCAATGAGAGAGAACATCAATTGGCCGCCTCCTGCATGCCCCTAAATGGGAATTGGGCCCACAACCTGGGCATGTGCCCTGACCGGAAATCGAACTGGTGACCTCTTGGTGCATGGGTCAGTGCTCAACCACTGAGCCACACCAGCTGGGCTTTCCTTATTTTTTATTGAGGTATGGCACACATAATGTGCATGAATATTAAGCATACAGCCAGATGAACATTAGCACACACCTTTACATACACCACACAGTTAAGATGTAGAGCATTACCAGTACCCCAGAGCTTTCCTGGAAATTGTTATCTCCCAGTCAGATTATTCCTTTTTTTTTTTTATCTTCTCCTGAGGATATTTTTCCATTTGTCTTTAGACAGATTAGGAGGAAGGGAGGGAGAGAGAGAGAGACATTGATGAGAGAGAGACAGTGACTGGCTGCCTCCCACAAGACCCTGACTGGAGCCAGGGACGAACTGCAAACCAAGGTATGTGCCCTTGGCTGCAATCGAACCCGGATCTCACTGGTTTGTGGACCAATGCTCTAACCACTGAGCAAAACTGGCCAGGGCCAAATTATTCTTATAAGGGTAATACATGCCCATGCTACAACTTTCAAAAAGGTATAAGGGAGAAGCCAACGTCCCTCCCAGCCTTCTCCTTCAGCCACCCAGTCTCCCTCTCCAGTGGAAGCCATCAAATGAGTTTCTTGTATATTCTTTGTTGGGCTTCTTTCCTCTCATTTTGGTTGGGTGGTGTTTGTATTTGTATTTGGAATCGCACACAAAGAACATCATAAACTTTTAGTATTTAGGGCCTCTTAAAGTCAACCAGCCCTGAAAATATCAGCCATGGCAGGGACCTTGACTCCAGCCCCCGGGAAACAGGCCCTTGGTCAGAGTCCTGAGCTCTATCTGATTCAGACCAGACCCCCTTGGCAAGATGTGGCTCAAAGATATAGCTCAGGCATAGGGGCCTGGCAACTCTGCCCCCACCTGCTTCCCCAACTCCACCCCCCTATTCTGTTCCGGGCTCCAACTTCATGGTTAGGGCAGGGTGGGGACAAAGGCCTGAGGACGAGAAGTAGAAAAGGTGCAAGTTTGACAGGCTGCATAGGGGTCATTCTGTCCACCCCTCTGCCCAGTGACGCCTCTTCAGACGGGTATGCCAGGGAAGGAGAGGGCACCCCTCCCTTCGTAAGCATCTACAGGTCTTGGCTGTTAGGGACTCTCCCCCTCCCGCTGCAGCCCCAGTGGAAGAAGAGGCTTCCACCCTCTGTTCTTTGAAGCTCGGAAGGCTGGCATGTGGTAGCTGAGATCACTGGCTTTAGAACAAGACAGGCTGGGTTTCATTGTGACACTGCCATTTACTGACTGGATGACCTCAGGCAAGTTCCCTTCACTCCCTGAGCCTCAGGTCCCTTGTCTGTAAAATGGGATAAAGATAGTTCTTGCTTCATAGGGCTATTGTGTGGAGTAAAACAGGCTTGTGAAGGACGTTATAGCACAATGCCCGGCGTATGGTACGATTCCATTAAATGCTAGTGATCACCGTGACCGTTATTATTATTCCTCACCTGAGGATATTTTTCCATTGATTTTTTTTTTTTTTTTAGATAGAGTCAAAGGGAGGGAGGAAGAGAGAGAGAGAGAGAGAGAGAGAGAGAGAGAGAGAGAAACATCAATGTGAGAGAGACACATTAATTGGTTGCCTCCTGCACCACACCAACAGGCGGGATTGAACCCGAAACACTTTGGTCCCAGGGCAGATGCCCTAACTGCTGAGCCATACCAGCCAGGGCACTGTGACCATTACTATTAGCTTGAACCAGGGAAGGCTGTGTGGAAGCAGCTGATGGAGGAGGAAGAGTTGGAGTGTGCTTGTGTGGGTTCATATGTATGAAGCATGATTTCACCTGGAGGGTGCAAGGCACACGTGTCCGTATTTGTGGAATGCCATGCTCCTCAGGCCTTTGATGGCAGACATGTGGGAAATGGGCCCTATCCCCACCCCCACCGTCTCTGCTTCTCTTCCCCCTGCTCTAAAATGAGAAGTACAGTGAGTTCCCCCAAGGGGGCCTCGCCCCTTCCTGTCCCCGCCCTGTCGGCAGCCCTGTGCCATTGGAGTGGCAGCCCCAGAACCAGGACTGCAGGGGTGCTGAGGCCGCCTGGGCGCTGAGGGCCGCGTTTGAGGCTTAGCCCTACTGTTTTCCGCTTGCTAGGACTCCCAGGCACCACCCCGTTCCCTGCACCCCCTTCCTCTTGGGGAGCCCCCAGGATGGTGAGGTAAGGGCCTGGGACCCACGGTAGGCAGGAGGCATGGGTACCCTGGAGCCCGTGCGACCTCTCCTCACCGCCCTCCTGGGCCTCCCAGGTGGTTTCACCGAGACCTCAGTGGGCTGGATGCAGAGACCCTGCTCAAGGGCCGCGGCGTCCACGGGAGTTTCCTGGCTCGGCCCAGTCGCAAGAACCAGGGCGACTTCTCCCTCTCTGTCAGGTAGGTGGCCCTCAACTCGGCCCAGGACCACATTTTGGCAGGTTGTTCCCGGTTCTCTCATGGCAGTGCCAGCTCCCCAGCCCCAGCCCCACATGTCCTCTGTCCCTGTCTGTGTCCACCCCATCCTGCGTGTGCTCCAGACTCAGGACCTCAGCCCATCCTTCACCTATCCCCACCTCTACCCCTGCACCCACTGGCCTCACTGCCTGGTGTCCTGCAGGGTAGGGGATCAGGTGACCCATATTCGGATCCAGAACTCAGGGGATTTCTATGACCTGTATGGAGGGGAGAAGTTTGCGACACTGACGGAGCTAGTGGAGTACTACACGCAGCAGCACGGCGTCCTGCAGGACCGAGATGGCACCATCATCCACCTCAAGTACCCGCTTAACTGCTCTGACCCGACCAGTGAGAGGTGAGGGGCATAACTGTCAGTGTCTGCCCATTCCTGCTCCTTCTCAGGGCTCTGTGGCCCCCTTTCCTCCATGTGACCCTGGGGCTGTCTCCGGGGACTAACCTCCCACCCCTTTCTATCTACCCTTGAGGAAGCAAGAGGTCACCTTGTCCTTCTTCAGGGTCCCTGTCTGCTGGCAACCCAGGCCTTACTGGTGACAGAGAGGCTGCTCCTTGTGGCCAGCTTTGTTGTTAGAAAGTTCTTCTTCCTTCTATGGAACTGAATCTAACTTCCTGTAACCATTCCTTCCTCCAGGACAGGTTACTACAGTGAGAGGTGGCTATTGAGAAGGAGCACAGGGAACATGTCTATGAGGACACTTCCTGCCTCATCTTAGCAAACTAGAGGGAATGGGGCCGGGTAGGGCATCACTGTGTGATGTGGTCACATGTGTAAGGACCTAGTACCTGGGCACAGGGTAATGCTCAAGGCATTTCCCTCTGGCTCCAAAAATGTGGCCCCAGAGCTGGGCTGAACACTCCTCAGTGGTCTCGCCAAAGCCTGGGTGGGAGGTGGTGGCACCTGAACACTCAGCATCACAGGTGGCTCATTTTAGCAGCTGCAGCTCAATGACAGCTCCTGTGAAGGTGAAGGGCAGCTGAAAGACTCTAGGGTTTTTTACCCCCACACTCCTCGGGCCAAGCCAACTTGCCCTCGTACTGTACTTGTGTATTGATTGTTGAAATGATTCTGAACCTTGATTCTGTCAGTTGACAGTGTTTCTGAGATGTATGCCTCCCAACTTGCATCAGTATTTTTGTTCAAGTCACTGACTGAAACTTAGAACTGGATGAGGTGAAGTGAAGGCCCCATGTCCGTCAATATGAAGCCATTGGCCCACGTCCTAGGAGAGGAGCCTGAGCCGACGAGCTTGCCCACGGTTGCCCTCCTTCCTATTTTCTCACCCTGTTCCTACACCCCATCTGCAGTGTGCATGGGGGCTTGTCACCCAGACCCTCAAACTCCTGCCCTCTTTCTGCCCACAGCCACCCTCTGCCTTGCTGGGAGAGAATGGTGTTACCAGACTGTAGAGAAGCAGTAGCTTGGGTACTGAGCTGGGAGAAGGAAGGAGGCACTGAGCAGACACCCTTGGGAGGAGGCTGAGACCTGGGTTCACGGCACTTGGGAGAAGCAGGAGAACAGCAGAGCTGGGGCTGGGGGTGGTCGACCAGGGAAGCTGACTCTAAGAGGCCCTTTTGGTTACCCATGCCTGGATGCTCTGGGCTCACCCCTGACCCTGGAAGTTTGTGTGGGAGGCTCTTTCTCCAAACCTCTGTTCCTGCCTTGACTGTGGCCCCTCCCCCTCCACAGGAATTTGCATTTGTCCCCTTGATGGCTAGCTTTGTGCCTGTGGTCAGCCTGACATTTGCATGGAAACTTCCTCATCCTGGGGCCTGGGGGAAGAGGGTTTGACCCCTCCTCATTGCCCTGGGGCCCTGGCCTATCCCAGAGTAGTGGGATGGGGTGGCCCAGGGGTTCCTGGACAGGCCAGGCGACGTTGAAGGTTTCTGAGCTGTGGTCTTCTCTGGGTTGGAGTGAGATGCCCTCTTTCCCCCCATCCTTGCGGTTGGAAAATGCCACCCCCCCCTAAGGTCCCTGGGCTGAGGAAACCTCACAACCTCACTTCTCACTCTCTCCCCAGAAGGAGTTTTGTGTTTTTTCCATCACGTGGTTTCCTGTGGGGCTGGGCATTGTGGGGCTACAGTTTCCTCCTGGGAAGGGGGTGTGCTTAGGGGAAAGGTCCTAGTTCTGCTTTCTGCACCTTTGAGCCCCTCTGAACCCCAGCCTCCTCTTCAATGGCATCATCCTGGGCACCCCAGAGCCCCCTAAACCACTCTCCCCAGACGGTTGTCTGTCTTCCTCGCCTTCCTGGGGGAGTTCCATCATGCCTCCCTGGTGACTTCCGTCTCTCCCATCTCCATGGCTCTCTGTGGTTTGACCTTTGTCTGCATTTCTCTGGGTCTCTCCTCTTTCCCTAGCCTAGCCCTGTCTTTCATGGAGACCCTTCCTGGGTTTCTCTCTTCCAAATATTCTGGATATGGCCTGCCTTTCTGCCTTTGTCTTAAACTTCCAGAAGTGGACCTGGTTAGCACTCTTATCAGCAAGGGCCTTGGGCTAGTGTGCAATCGCCAGCCTCAGTTTCCTCATCTGTAAAATGGGGGTGGTACCTACCTCTCGGTGTTTTCGTGAGTAATGGACCTAAATATGGTGGTGGGTTTGGAAGCATCTAGCTCAGTGCCTGGCACATCGCAGGTAATCAGTTTCCCTGTCCCTCTCTGTGAGCCTCTCTGCTCAGTAACTGTCTCTCGGCCCAGGACTCATCTTCCCTGATGCTGCCTCTTTCTAGGTGGTACCATGGCCACATGTCTGGGGGGCATGCAGAGACACTGCTGCAGGCCAAGGGTGAGCCCTGGACATTTCTTGTGCGTGAGAGTCTCAGCCAGCCTGGAGATTTTGTGCTGTCTGTGCTCAGTGACCAGCCCAAAGCTGGCCCAGGCTCCCCACTCAGAGTCACCCATATCAAGGTCATGTGCGAGGTAAGACAGCCAGGCAGAGGGGGAGGCATCTTGCTGGGGTTCCCATCTGTGTTCATAGGGTGGGTGGTGGGGAGGGTCATCCAGGTTCCAGACCAAGGCAGGGGGTTGAGGGAGGGAGACTAGGGCCCTGCAGGGTGGCCTGACTTGATCTCCCTCAGGGTGGACGCTACACGGTGGGTGGTTCAGAGACCTTTGACAGCCTCACAGACTTGGTGGAGCATTTCAAGAGGACGGGGATTGAGGAGGCCTCAGGCGCCTTTGTCTACCTGCGGCAGGTGAGAGGTGGGCCTGGCTACCTCCTTCCTTCCCCTGAGCAGTCTCTCAGACTCATGAGCCTCTGAGGTCTGGAAGTCACTGACTTCTCACCCTTGCCCGCCCCAGCCATACTATGCCACGCGGGTGAATGCGGCTGACATTGAGAACCGGGTCTTGGAACTGAACAAGAAGCAGGAGTCGGAGGACACAGCCAAAGCTGGCTTCTGGGAAGAGTTCGATGTGCGTGATGGGGACCATCAGGGTGACCAACATGGGGTGCCAGACAGACCCCACTCCCTCTCTTGCTCCACCCCTGATACTGATCTGCCCCATGTTATCTTCCCCATGGACACCCCTCTTGGGGGCTGGTGCTCCACTGATCCCTCTCGCCCCTCAGAGTCTGCAGAAGCAGGAGGTGAAGAACCTGCATGAGCGGCTGGAAGGGCAGCGACCAGAAAACAAGAGCAAGAACCGTTACAAGAACATTCTCCCATGTAAGCACCCCACCACAGCCTCCGTCCCTCCCCTCCCAAGCAATATCCATCCACCCAGGAGATTCTCCTTCCCTTAACCAATCTCCGCCATCTCATAGGGTCTCTACCCCCATGTCAGGGAGGATCCACCTTCCACCCACACAGTAGAACCTCCTCTCCTTCAAAAAGCCTCTGCTCCTCCCAGCAAAGCCTCCGGCACCCACTGCCCTCACCGCTGCCCTTCCTCTGAAACCTCCACCCTCACCTGCAGACCTCTGCCCACCCACAGTGCTCCGGGAGCCTCATGGCTTCTCAGACAAGAACGGCCTGTGAGCTTAGGAAGGGTCTGCCCCAGGGGCTGGTGAGTTCCTGCTGACCCAGGCCCTTCTTGCTTTCTCTCTGCTCACTCTCAGTTGACCACAGCCGAGTGATCCTGCAGGGACGTGACAGTAACATCCCTGGGTCCGACTACATCAATGCCAACTACATCAAGGTCGGTGTTACCCACCAGTCATACAGGAGGAGAAGTTGGGCCCTGGGGATTCCCCATCTCAGAGGGGGCACCAGGTCCAGAGGTGCACGGGCAAAGCGAAAGCTGACGACCTGTGTGGGTGGGTGGGGGGCAAAGGGCGTGTTCTGGGCCAAGAGGCTCACAGTCTTGGTATGTGTCTCTCTGCACTTGCATCCAGAACCAGCTGCTAGGCCCCGACGAGAACTCTAAGACCTACATTGCCAGCCAGGGCTGCCTGGAGGCCACGGTCAATGACTTCTGGCAGATGACATGGCAGGAGAACACCCGCGTCATCGTCATGACCACCCGGGAGGTGGAGAAAGGCCGGGTAGGGCCGAGCTTCTCTCTGTCCCCTGATTCCCACACCCCAGTACTCATTGTCCACCACCAATAACCCGAAGAATTGCCAGGGCAGAAAGACACCTCAGAGGGGAAGGGTCCAACCCTTGTTGGGAAACAGGCACAGAGACAGTCTTAGGTACACCCTGACTCCCAGATCCCTGCTTCCAGCCTTGGGCTCTCCTGACCACCAGACTCAGGTTTTAAATGAGCCTTCTGCCTTAAAGTGTCTTAAAGTGAACATTCTGCACGCCCCTCCACCACCTGTTCCTATCCTCTTGTCCCTCTGCCTCATAAATCACCCTGGAATCGGCCCCTCACTCTCACGCTGCGCAAAACCCTCTGTACTGGAGTCAGAGTGCTCCCGTCCAAACCACGGACTGTATCACGTTGCTCTCTCACTAAAACCCTTCAGTGGCTCCCAGTTGCCTTCAGGACAGTCACACTCTAAGACTTGGCGCTCAAGGCCTGGTAGCTTCTCTGTAACATCCACTGCCTCCCATGGGCCAGGCTCTTTCAGGTTTCTGTGCCTTTGCACAAGCTCGTTTGCTGCTGGGAAACGACTTCCTGTCTCCACACTATCTCTGCCTGACACACTCACTTGTGAAGACCCAGTTCAAATGCTCCCTCCTCTGTGAAGCCATCTCTGATTTCCTCCATAACCTAGAGGGAGAATTAGCCTCTCCTTCCTCCTTGCTCCATGTTTTCCCTGTCCACCTGTCTCTCTGTGAGCTCCGGGAGGCACAGGGGTACAGCCGTCGTCTTACTTGTATTTGTAACTCCTGCCTTGTGTGCACAGCTTCAGGTGCAGTGTGGGTACCAGCCGGTGTGCACTGGATGACCTGTAAGGTTAGGTGGGTGGTCAGGACTCAGCACTGGAGCCTAAGACTGACTCTTGGCTAGTTCATCCATTCATGTCAGCCATGTTGACTGGGCCAGCACCGGGAATCAGGACCTAGAACAGGGCCTGGAGCACCCTGCCTGGCGCCTGCTTCTGTGCCTCATTCTCCACCTCCACCTTCCCTTCCAGAACAAATGCGTCCCGTATTGGCCAGAGAAGGACACTCAGCGCGTGTATGGACGCTACACTGTAACCAACCGTGGGGAACATGACACAGCAGAGTACAAACTCCGAACCTTACAGGTTTCCCCGCTGGACAATGTGAGTGTCCCCCACCCTTGCCCCCTCCTGGGCCCTCCTTGGACCTGTTTTCTTGTCTGATGGGGAGGGGGTTGGAGCGCTGTGTGGGAGCAGGGGGCACTGACTCTCTGTACTCGGCCCAGGAGAACCTGGTGCGGGATATCTGGCACTACCAGTATCTGAGCTGGCCTGACCATGGGGTCCCTAGTGAGCCTGGGGGCGTCCTCAGCTTCCTAGACCAGATCAATCAGCGACAAGAAAGTCTACCTCATGCAGGGCCTATCATCGTGCATTGCAGGTGAGAGTAATAATAAAGACATTAGTAGTAATTGCCCTGGCTGGTTTGGCTCAGCGGTTGGAGCGTCGACCTTTGGACCAGAGAGTCCCGGGTTCGGTTCCTGCTAGGGGCACGTACCAATAAAACAAAAAGACATTGGTAGTAATCATAAAAATTGTAGCTGGCAAGTAAATACTGCTAAGTGCTATGCTCTAGGGTAAGCAATTTACATATTAACCTTTGTACTGTCTCCCCCTTCTCCCAGCCTTTTCTGGGTTCCCTGGTGGCTCCAGATCCAGGGGTGGAACTTAGCTTGAACCAACCCACTGTCTGATCCTGTGCCTGGGGGTGGCCTTTTCAGAGGCCTCCCTGGTTGTACCATCTTGTCCAACCCTGACAATGAATGATGCAGAAACAGGCCCAGCCCCTTGTCAGGTCACCAGCTGGTCAGGGGAGTCTAGACTGGTGCTCACAACAGCCCTAGGTCCCGCTCACAACAGCCCTAGGTCCCGCTCCTCGTTTTCTTGCACTGGCCCACTCAGCCCATTTCTCCTTGGCCCCAACACCCTCCATGTGGGGGCAGTGTGGTTCCTCATCCCTTCTCTTTTACCATCTGTAGCTCTGTGAGTGAGGGGGGCTTCTTCATTGCTGCTCCTAGTCTCCCTTCCCAACCAAGTGCCCCCAACTTGGCCCTAGAGCGTGCAGAGATGGGTGATATCTTCGGGAGGAGCATAAGTATCGCTAGCTGCAGTGGAAACCCTCATGTTTATGATCAGGAGACCTCATTCCTGTGGGGAGGCAGGGGTTCAGCAAGGAGGAGCAGGATCCCATCAGGTCCGAGGGGCAGAGCCCTGCAGCCAAGCTGCCCCAGCCGGCCTGGCCTGGGTACATGGCGGCAGTGGGCACAGGGTGCAGGCCAGAGGCGGCTGGTTTAAATCCCAGCTCCTGCACTCTCTGGCTGGGTGACCTTGGACAAATTACTTTACTTCGCTGACCCTCAGGTTCCTCAACTATAATTCGGGTCTCACAGGGCTGTGGTGAGGATTAAATGAGAGCCTGTCACTGTGGATGGCATATAGTAAACCCTCAGAATGGGAGCTGCCAGGGAACGAGGGAATAGAAGCCTGCTCTGTGCTCTTCTCTTCCTGCTTCCTCCATGTGAGCTGGGCTGCGAGAGCCTCGACTCCCCACCAGCACCTGCTTTTCCTCGGGCAGGGCTGGGTGGCCTGGATCTAGAGGTGCCCCATGCTCTGCTCCCTGAGGCAGGCCCATCCCCAGGAACGGCTCTCCTGCTGCCCACCCCCCACACTCACCCAATTCTTGAAATCCCCATGTCCTTTATTTAGACATTACAGGAAGGAAGTGGGTGAGGGGGTTATTTTTTGACAATCTGGGTTTGAAATTAGCGCGAGTCAGGGCAGCAGCCTGACAGGCCCAGTGAAGGGGCAGGACTGAGGTCCATGTGGGGTCCTGAGGTTCCTGGGTTCTGTTTGCCCAAGGGCGGAGGCAGAGGGTGGGGGAGGAAGGGAGACTTCCCGCTGCACTGCTCCTCCGCCTCTCCTGTGTGCCCTGCACCCCACTGTCTGAGGGCTGCCCTTTTCCTGCCATGAGGGTCTGAAGAAAGAGGGAAATGAAGCCCTGAAGAAAGAAGCTCCAGATATAACTTTCGAAGGGAGAAGGGGAAGGCCTCCATCAGGCCGAGAGTTTGAGAGGGGGTCCGGGGAGGTAGGCAGGATGGTGGTGGGACTGGGGGTCGCGGACCTTCTGAGGTGGGCAGCTACCACTGGTCAGAAATGAGCAGTTGAGGCAGGGAGTGGGGGAAGTGGAAAGAGAGTGATAGCTGGAGCTGAGCTCTGGGGAGGTGTGGACCTGGCCTTTGATGGCACCCCTTCTCTCCCCAGCGCGGGCATTGGCCGCACAGGCACCATCATTGTCATCGACATGCTCATGGAGAGCATCACCACCAAGGGTGAGGGTTGCCTGTGGGGAATGCAGGCGGGAGGGTGGGTGAGCATCTAGCTCCTCGATGTCCACCTCCACCTGGGCCTGAGGTCCAACTGCCATCCCTTCTCAGGGCTGGACTGTGACATTGACATCCAGAAGACGATCCAGATGGTGCGGGCACAGCGCTCGGGCATGGTGCAGACGGAGGCACAGTACAAGTTCATCTACGTGGCCATTGCCCAGTTCATTGAAACCACCAAGAAGAAGCTGGAGGTCATACAGGTTCGTGCCCAGCAGGGCCTGGGGGGGCTGCGGAGGGCAGTTGGGTATCATCTAGTCCTGTTGACACCACCGCCCTCCCACCACACTTCTGTCTACAGTCCCAGAAGGGCCAGGAGTCAGAGTATGGGAACATCTCCTACCCCCCAGCCATGAAGAACGCCCATGCCCAGGCCTTTCGCACCTCCTCCAAGTGAGTGACCCCTCCCTGCCTGCCACCTCCCTGCATCCACCCCTTTCTCCTTCCCAGCTTGACCCTCCCTTTCTAGAGAGCACCAATGCTACTGTTGAGGAGACCTGGGGTCAAGGTCAGACTTGGTTCTTACTACCTGTGTTTAGTATTTCCTGAGTGCCCTCACTTTCCTGGCCTCAGTTTACTTACCTGTGAGGTAGAGTGACCCAGAGGGGCTGCTGGTGCTGGGTAACCCTGCAGTCTCCTGACTTGTGCCAACTGCTCACATTTGTCCACCCCCCTGCAGACACAGGGAGGATGTGTATGAGAACCTGCACAGTAAGAACAAGAAGGAGGAGAAGGTGAAGAAGCAGCGGTCAGCGGACAAGGACAAGAGCAAGGGCTCCCTCAAGAGGAAATGAGTTGGGCACCATCCTGAGGTGGCCATGGTATGGCCCCTCTGCCCTGCTCTGCTCCAGTGTCCTCTGGCTCTGGTGCTTACCCTGGATGGATGGCAGCCTCACTCTGCCCTTCCCAGCTGTCCCTAGACCTGCTCTTGTCCCCTCTCCCCAGGTTCCAGCCACCCCCTTTCTCCCTTACTCCCTTTTCTCTGCAGCCTTAGCCCCAATCCCTGTAGAGAAGCCTCCAGAGAACATCCACAGCCTGAACCTAGGAGCTGCCTGCTCAACTCCATTGTAATTTAAATGATTGTCTCCCTCTCCCAGACCCTGTATATAGCCCAGCAAAGCTCCAGGCCCGGCCAGACCCTTTGACATTTGTAAATAAAGCCCCTAGGATCACTGTGTGAGGGTCCCTAACTCCGTCTGGCAGGAAGGGCAGACGCGGGAGAGAGGGAGGTGGGCAGGGAGTAGTGTGTGTGTATGTGTGTGTGTGTGTGTGAATAAAAGCTCTACTTTCACACTCAGACAGACCTGGCTCTGGACTCTGCTTAAAACACTAGGAGTGTGACCACGGGCCAGCTTCCTCAGTCTCTTTCCTGGAAAGTGGATGATTCTTTTTTTTTTTTTTTCCTTTATTGATTTTTAGAGACAGAGGAAGTAAGAGGGAGAGATAGAAACATCAATGAGAGATGCCCTGGCCAGTTTGGCTCAGCGGTTGAGCGTTGGCCTGCGGACCAGAGAGTCCCGGGTTCGGTTTCTGCTAGGAGCACATACCACAAAAAAAAAAAAAAAAGAAAGAAAAAAAAAGAAACATCGATGAGAGAGAACATCCATCTGTGCCTCCTGCACGCCCCCCGCTGGGGATTGGCCCACAACCTGGGCATGTGCCCTGACTGGGAATCAAACCTGCGACCTCTTGGTGCATGGGTCGATGCTCAACTGCCAGGCTGGAGGATGATTCTAAGAGTATTGTTGTGAATATCACTGAGATAAGGCATGATGATCGCAAGGGCAACAATTGTTCATTATACGCTTGCCATGTGCCAGGCACTGTTTATTTTTATTTATGTTTCTCATAAAAGTTTATTTGAACCAAACTGACTACATATGCCAGGGAGCAAGATCTTACATGCTCCTGTCAGCACTGTTTAAAAGACTGCACATAATGCCCTAGCCGGTGTGGCTCAGTTGGTTGAGCGACATCCTATGCACTGAAAAGTCACCAGTTCGATTCCCGGTCAGGGCACATACTCAGATTGTAGATTTGATCCCCACTTGGGTTGCATACAGGAAGGAGGCAACCAATCAATGTTTCTCACATCAATGTTTTTCTCTCTCCCTTTGTCTAAAAAAAAGTTAATAAAAACATTTAAAAAAAACGACACAACAGGGTGGGGGGGGGGATGTGGAGGAGGGTGTCAATGGGGAAAAAAAGGAGAAACAACTGTAACAACAACAAAAAAAACAAGACACAGATTGATCCAGTCAGGGTATCTATCATTCTCATTTTACGGTGGGGAAAATTGAGGCACAGATAGATTCAATAACTTGCTCAAGGTCACAGGGCTATTGAGCAATGAAGCTGAGACTTTATGCCTGGCCAGAGTGGCTTGGTTGCTTGAGTGTCATCCTGTGTACCACCGAAAGGTTGCTGGCTGGTTTGATTCCTGTTCAAGGCACATACATAGGTTGTGGGTTGGATCCCTGGTCTAGGCCCCAGAACCCCCACTCCTGGGGATGCAGCTGAAGTCACTTGAGGACACAACCACACACTCTGGTAACGACTTTTAGGTCCAAAAGCTACAATACATAAAGGCCAGGAGGCGCAGGACCGCCCCAGCTCCCCCTCCCCTCTCTGGGCTCCTGGTGCTCACTGGAGGCCTGGTTCTTCTCTTCCACTGGGCCGCTGCCACCTGATGCTCCTGATTAATTTTATTTTTGTCTCCTCTCCCTTCTCTTGTCTGGAGTGGGCTATCAGTGATTCCTTCTTTGTATTATGGCTTTATCTTAACCCCCTGGGAGTTAAGCCTGTGAGAGTCACCCCCTGCTGGGCAGGCCCTGGAGTAGGCGCAGTACTGATGCAATGTTGGCTCGACTGTCATTCATTCAGCATATACTTTCTTTTTTCAGTGTGCATTGTGCTGGGGGTGTAATGATGAACAAGACAGCTCCTCTCCTTGTGGGACTTAGGAGAGTGGTAGGGGAGACAGACCGGGAGACAGTTCAGAAACATAAAATTAGTACAGACAGATATTAAGAAGGATACAAATAAAATGAGGGAGGGAGAGAGAGATCAGCTTGGGCAACACAACAATAGCTCCCTGGAGCTAACTCCCTCCAGGGGGTGGGTGGGTGGGGCCGGCATCTGTGGGCCTCAGGGCCCCTCTCCCAGCAACGCCCTGCCCTTTCTTTCCCAGCTAGAGCTGCACAAAAGAAAGGTAGGCTCCACACCCCCTAACCGCCCTTGGGCTGACTGCCCAGGGCTGGGACTTGGACCAGGCAGTGAGGTGGGTCCAGAAGCAGCTGGCCTGACTTTGGCCCCTCTGGAGAACAAAGCGCAATCCATGTCACTCTTCCCTGAAGGACAACTGCAGGGGCCGAGTCTGTGAGGCAGGAGTGCAGCTCAGTTCTTGAATTGTCTAGGTCAGTACTGATGCTCTTGGATAGCTTGGGCCTCTCGGCAGAGTAGGGCAACCCAATACTAGGGCTGAGGACAGGGAGACGCCATGCTGGGACCTGTCTGCTCTCCACAGGCAGGGATGCCCAGCATAGGGGGGCACCGGGCCTGGGCACATCCTACCCCTATCAAGCTAATCTGTTACTGACCTCAGGGATCTCTGGCTCTCCAGGTCTGTCCATGGGCAGGGTCGGAGGTCTCAGAGGGAGAAGGTAGTTGGGAGCAGGAGTGGCTGTGGAGAGAGCGGCAGGAGGAAGACAAAGGGGCCCAAAGACAGCCCCTCCCATTCTCCCTCTGGAGACCAACCAGTCTCCCTGGTCTAGGCCTGGGGGGCAGAGGTGGCAGGTAGGAGAGAAGACACAGCTCTAGAAAAGGGTGGGAGGGCTAGTGGGGTGGCTGAACCCAGAGGAGGCGCCTGGGGCTGGCGCTGGGAGGCAAGGGGTTAAGGCAGTGGGGGGGCAGCCTATGGCAGGAGGACACACCTGTACGCAGGGGCGGCAGGCGGGGCCCAGGTGAGGAGCCCGCACTGCCTGTCGGTGAAGAAGGAAGAAGGAAGAGTGGAGGCCAGGACGGCGGTTGAATTCTGGGCCTGACTCCCCTTCCTCACTTCAGCACTCACTCTCTGGGGGGCAGGTGGCCTGGTGACAGGTAAAGGCCATTGGGAGAAGGGTCCTGGGGCTGAGCTGGGGACTGCAGAGGGCGTTGAAGGCCGTGGGTTGGTGTGTGGGGGCAGGGACAAGCTATGTGGGTGGTGAGGGAAGGGGCTCAGGAGGCAGAGAACTGCTGGGCAGGGGGCTGCTGAAGCTCTGCCTGGGCCTTAGTGGATCAACAACTCAAGGTGGAGCTGGTGGCAGCTACAGGGCTCACCCGGAAGTGTCCCCAGGGACGTGGGTGGTGGGGGGAAGGGAGCCAGGATTCGGCAGCCTCTCCACAGGGAGCTTGGGCCTAGGACTGCCTGACCTGGAGGTAGGCAGGCTGGGTGGGGGCCCCCGTCTTACCCAGCAGTGTTTGGATGCTGGTTGGGAGTCTCTAATACTGCCGGGTAATGATGGAGGCCTCTGTCCCCGAGTCAGCGACATCCTTTACCTCAGGCCCCCAGCAGATGCAGTGCCCCTACTCCGGAACCTCCCCACACCCTAGAATCCCCTTCATCTTGAGTAAAGGGTGCTGCAAACAGAGTGGCTCTTGGTTGGCGAGCTGCCCAATGAAGAAACACAGTGGTTCCGACCCCTCCCCCAACCCGGAGTGATTTGTCATCTGGTGGATCCAGAATCCACAGCCGCCCGAGCTTGGGATTGGCTCCTGTACTCTCAAGAGACCTCACCTGGCCTGTGGCCAGGTCCCTGTAGCAACTGGTCAGCTCCAGCCTGGAGCTGCATTTCAGCCGGCTCTGGGTCCATCTTCCAGTACAGTGTTGGATGGTCTAATTGTGAAGCTCCTAACACTGTCTGGTAAAGATGGCCCCCGGGCTGGTTCCTTCGGCAGTGACCTTCAGGGAACCCTGAAGACTATGGAGGCCTCCTGACCAACAACCTCTGACCTTGACCCCTCTGGATGGGATTGTAAATCACGAGGGAAAGGGGAACAATGGGGAGGAGACAAAATGGCTGCCTCTAGAGCTGCAGCAGGGCTTGAAAACATCCTTGCTCTCCAGGCACCCCCACTCTCTTTCCACCTTGGGAACATGAGCCAAATAAAGTGTAGATGGGAACCTGTGGCTGACTGATTCGGGTTACTCAACCCGTTTTTTTGTCTAACTGCCGATCTCATCTTGGGCTCCCAGCTCCCGAGGAGTGGGGCTGCCACATCTGCTCCATTTTCCTGTCCCTTTCATGACATTCAACCTGCAGAGCAGGGGAAAAAAAAAATCAATCTTTTTCCTAAAATCTAAGAAGCTGAAGATGAGCCTAGTCCCTCACCCTGTATGCCCCCCCCAAACCCGCCATGCTTTGTAATTCCTGCACAGTACACGCTTTTGCCCCCAGCGCTGTCTTCCGGTTCCAAGTGCTCCTTGTCTCCCTCCCTACAAGGACAAGGGACGGCCATTGGATTGTAGTGGCATCAGGTATACCATTTCTCTGCTGTTTGAGATTCGGCGAGGGTTGTTTTGGGATGAGGTGGCTCATGTAGGGATTGAAAACAGGCACTTGTTGCATGAGCCCAAGCTATGGGAGTGAAGCTCACTCCACAGGTAGTAATTTCTTATCAGTTCCTCACACCTGGATTGCAAAATTGGCAGTGTGGGTAGCTCAGAGCATGCAACACGACCCACAGGGCCTTTGAACCGGTACGCCCCTTGACAGGCATGAGTGGTCCCCCACAGAGCGGCATGCAACCCTGTTACAAAGGGAGCAGCTGCTGTTGGGGTCATCACATTTTTGGTCTAGCTCAGCAAAGCCACAGCTGCTCATCTTAAAAATGTAGATGTTGGTAAATAAATGAGGTGACGTGGTAGAAATGGAGGCGGGGTGGAAAGTGCAGCTGGGCTTGCTGTTTCCAGCTTAGTTCCCGGTTTCTGACTCTGTTGGGCTTCCAGGGTGAAAGCAGGGCCCTGGCCAGAGTCTGAGCGACCCCTGCCGGCAAGGACGAAGAAAGACTCAGGAGAGTTACGTGGGAGCGCGCACGCATACCTCCCCCTAACCAAGCTCAGACACGTGAAGCCTTGACTTCAGCTTAAGTAATAAAAATTTATTGAGAATTCCTGGGATGGTGGTTATTGCCTCTCAATCTTGAGAGAGGAGCCAACACTGTAGGAAATCACTGAGAAATCACACACTGTCCTAACCCAGCCAACATGGAGGAGGCAAGTCATGCCCCTGAAAATGGGTCAGTCTTCATTTGAGAAGGGCTGGGAGGACAGATACAGAGGGGACCATCACATGATACTGGGGGCAGGGTAGGGGTGTGCTGGACCCCAAGTTGGCTCCTCAAACAACAGGGCAGAAACAGATTCACTTCTCTGGAGTTCTTGGTCATCGGGCTCATTTCTTAGTCTTAATGAGGCTGTCACTGCGGAAAGGATAAAGGAGACAGATGGATAACATTATTTGGGGACATAAATCTTGGCCAAATCTGTCTCAACCACCCTCCTTCCTGATTAAGGTGTGTGTGGGGAGGTGAGAAAGGTTAGGTGGTGGGGGAAAAGGCAGGTACTGGGAGATGAGCTGCAAGACCCCACCGAAACAAGGATGCATCAACAACTTACCTTCCCCTGTGGACGGACACCAGGTCACCAGATGAACAGGAAAACACAGAAAGAAAAATGCAGAGGTGATTTTCAGTTCAGGCCCCACCCAGCTCTAAACCCTCCTGTGCTCCCAAGAGAAAAAGAGACAAATGGGTTGGAAGCCAGGGATCTCAGGCTCTGGAAAGGAAGAGCCAAGTTCTCTTGGCCACTGCCATTCCACCTCTCCTTCCCTAGCACGATTCCATGCCCCAGAGCAGCAATTTTAGGGTTTCCGAGTAAGAATACCGAATATCATCTTTCACCCCTTTTCAGTAGACAAAACTTTACAATTGACGTGCTTTTTAAAAAAATGGACTTTAGAGAGGAAGGCGGGGAAGGGGGAGGGGGGGGAGAGGGGAGAGGGGGGGGAGAGGGGAGAGGGGAGAGGGGGGGGGAGAGGGGGGAGAGGGGGGAAGGGGGAGAGGGGGGAAGGGGGAGAGGGAGAAGGAGGGAGGGATGGGGAGGGGAGAGAGAGAGACATTAGTGGCTTGCAGACTGTACCCTAACCAGGGACAGAACCTGCAACCTGGGTATGTGCCCTCACCAGAACTGAACTAGCCAACTTTTGGTGTTCAGGACGACACTCCAACCAACCAAGCCACACTGGCCAGAGCTAAAGTGCTTTTCACAAGAATAATCCTACTCTCATAAAATACAATCATGAGATTTAAGTCACATTTTTCTATCTTTGGGTTCAGAGAAATGGTGTCTTTCAAGGGTCACATGAGTAAGCTAGAAACAGGCTGCAGAGCCCAAGAGACTAGACTTAGCTCTCATGTTCTCTGTGACACCCCAGCGAGTAGGTCACCTCTCTTACCGGGTGAAACTTTCATCCTGCAGGTTCAGCACAAGGTTGTCAGCGGTGAGATAGATACGATTCTGTGATGTGGCGATCTACAGGGCAGGAAACAAGGCAGATGCTTGTACTAAGCACAGAAAACCTCGACTCCTATCCATTCAATAACCACATGGAACACATGTGGGTTAGAACAGGGACCCAACGATGAGAAAGACATGGTTTCTGTCATCACACAAGGATCTAGAGCAGTAGGCAGCTGTGATTGTGTTAGCGTACCGTAACAGAAGCGTGGACGAAAGGTCAAGGGAACCCAGAGGAATTGTTTTTGATGAAGGGAAGAGTGTCAGAGAAGCCAGTTTGAGTAGAAACCTGAATGAGCATGATTTTAATTGCCTTACTTCAGTGTGCTTTACCTGAAAACACTCTCTCCAAGAAGCCCTGTGAGGGATACCAGGCTCTTCCACTTACCGTCTTGGAGATGTTCTGGGCTGCCCGGATCTTTCGCAGCTTGATGTAGCCTGGGTTTTTGCTCAGTGCTTCTCCAAGGTGAGCAGGGTGGGGTTAAGGGTTCACACATGGCCAGGTCTCAATCCCTGCCCCCATGTCTACTATTCCTGTCACTCCAGCCCTCCTCTGGGCTGTCAGATCCAAGGTTGCGCTCAGGTGGCTCGTGCTCAGTTTTACTTTGGTCCTCACCTGTGGGCCCCCCTGCAGGCAGCTGCCAGGAACTGGAGGCAGCAGCAGAAATGGAGGCAAGGCCAGCAGTGCTATTGATCTGCCTTACAGTGGGGAGCCAAGCTCAGGTACCCCACTAAGATTTCAGATCCCATTTGAAACCTCCGCACACAGAAGCCAATGACCAGAGAGCACAGAATCGCATTCGCCTTAGTCTCATCAGCCAGCCCATGAGGGAGGACAGGAAAGCAATGTGTCTGGGGGAGAGCTGAGACACCTCTAGCAGAAGGATATCATCTTGGCGGCCTCGGCCTCACCCTCAGCCTGCACGATCTTTTGCCGCTGTTCCTGCTTTGCTTTTTCCACCAAGAACTGGGCCCGCTGGGCCTCCTGCTGTGCTGTGTTGGGAGAGTCAAGAGGTCACAGATGTGAGGTGTCAGGAATCTCCCCCCCCCCTTCGGAAATCCTTGACCTACTCCTCTGGTAACTCACCCACTTGTTTGGCTTCTACAGCAGCTGTGTATTCTCGGCTAAAGCTTAGCTCTGTGATGGCTACATCATCCAAGATGAGGCTGAAGTCCTTGGCCCTCTCTGTCAGCTCCCTTCGGATCAACAGGGATACCTGAGGGCAGGGTGAGGAGGGGAAGGGAGAGGTTGTTGGAGGGGACTGGAGAATGGAAAGGAAGGTGCACTGCTGCGACCGTCTGAATACCAGATCTTCTGAAACAGGCAGAAAACTCACCAACCCTTTCTTAGTACCTATCAAGTTTGTCTTGGTTCTTTGTTTCCCAGTGGCCATTAGTGCCGCTTTTAGGTAGAAATGGAACTGGGATCACAGCCCTTTTCTAATAAGCTGCCTTTCCTAATACCCAATGCCTTGGGTCTAGGAGGAAAATGCTGACACTGTGCAGATGGTGATGGGAGCAGGGTCCAACCTGGGCCCGCTGGGTGATCAGCTGTGAGGCGTTGAACTTGGCCACCACACTCTTGAGAACCTCGTTGACAATGGACGGCAACACTCGCTCCTCGTAGTCTAGCCCTAGGCGTTGGTACATGCTGGGAAGCTCCAGGGCATTGGGTCGAGACAGCACTCGCAGGGAGATGTTCACCATCTGCAGGTCTAAGAGTGAGGTCAGCAGTGGCTGGTCAAGGCCATGGGGCCTCATCTGGCCTCTTAGCCAAGCACCCTTCCCCAAGCACTGCCTCCTCCATGTAATATCATGTAGTCTGGAACTTCCCTGGAGGGAAGAGAGTAATGAGGCCAACAAATGCATCCTTGAGACTAAATGCATCCTTGTCCACAAAGATTTGATCTCTTCTTTACCCATAACCCCTCCACCAATAAAGGCAACCTCTCCTCTTCTCCTTTTGCCCCTGTACTGTGTGCAACCTGTACTGCAGGCTCTATAACAATCATCTGTCTTCTTTACTACAGGACTCGAGAATGAGGACTGTGCTTTACAAATCCTTTATTTCCAGGACCTAAGATTTAAAGAATGTAAAGTGAGCTGCACTAAAAATGGTGCAAAAAAGCAGTGTGAATATGTCTGTGTGTGTGTGTGAGAAGGTGTCTAGGGAATCTCAAAAGCACAGCTTCTGGGTATGGTAGGATGTACCAGGTGCACCAATGAAAAGTGGGATTAAGCTTCTCCAGGACAGGGTGTACTATGGATATCATTAACAAGTCAAGCAGTTAAAAGAAAAAGAAAGCTTTAACACAAGGCTTTGATCTAGGCAGTAAATAAGACAAAGGACAAACAGTGCTCTCACTGAATCCGTTACGGGGTAGTAACAGTTAATAAAAAAGTGCAAACATACAGTGTGTCCAGAATGTATTGCTTAAACCCCAGAAGCAGGTACTTTTATTCCAGTTAAATAAAAGTTTAACCGGTTTTGCAGGTGTGAAAACCAAGGCCCAAGAGCTCTGACACAACCATTTTCCCTTAGGGGTTCTTGCCAGGCTCCCTTATTGACTTTAGGTAGCCCATCTGGTGGTGGCTTCCAAGTGTCCAAACCTACCTTTGGAGCCCGTGGGGGAGGAAATTTTTCGTGGTCTGGCCCGAATGTCATAGATGATGGGATACTGGAACCAGGGGATCCTGGAGGAGAGGGAACAGTGACTGTTATTAGGAGACTGCAGTTTTACTAGTTTTCCCTCAACACGTGTTTCTTAGCCTGTTCCTCCACGTACTAGGAGAAGTTCTCTTCTTTAGAAAGCATTTATGTGCTGCTGCAGTTATGGGCAACACCCACTGTGCTGGGAGATGGGGTCAGGAGGAGAACGAGTACAGCTGAATCCTCTTGAAAGTCCTAGTACAGCCACTGGTGGGTTGGCGTTCAAGGGTGAAGGGTCAGGGTCAATCCGCTCTGCCCGCCATTACCTGAAGTGAAGGCCCTCGGCGAGAATGGTATCCTGCTGCACGCCACCGATGCGATTAAAGAAGATGGCTCTCTGCCCGCCTTCCACTGTGGGGAGAGGGGTGCGGATCAGGCCGGGCCACGGACCGCGGGCCAGCCGCTGGTGGGGCGAGGGGCTAAGTGAGCGCGGGGACTCGGCGGGACAGGGTCGGGGGTCTGGGCGGGCCGGGAGGAGACCGGAGAGCGGGCGGAGGTTGCTCACCGGTGAACACGGACTCGCGGACCCCGTAAGCCACGGCGCCGGCCCCCAGCAGTAGCTTCAGCGCCGTGCCCATGCCCCGGGGCCCGGAGGGCAGCCGTCCCGCTAAGTCCTTCAAGTTCTGGGCCATGTCCGATCCTGAGACCGGCGGCACCGAAGGTCAGGTGGGGGTGCCGGCCCACCTCTACCCCACTCCACTTTAGAAACCGCACCCTTCACACGAGGGTCCGTGGCCCAGGTGCTCGCAGGAGAAAGGGCACCGGAAGTGCCCGCCTCCTGAGCCCTCCCCCGGCCCACGGAGGACCCGAGCTTGGCGCACAGGAATTGCGCGTTGGGAAGTCCCGCCTCCCTCTGAAACGCTGCCCTTCCGGAGAGACTGCGGCAGTACCAGACTGCCAGCCCTTGCCAGTTCCAAGCGCCCACTTTCAAAATGGAAGCCGGAAGGAAGGGTGCGATTAGGAGGAGCGTGAGGGTCTAACTGAAGGATAGTAGCACAATTTCCGGCCTGGTAGCAAGATGGCTGCGCCCAGTGGTGGGTTTCAACCTCGTGAGCGTCGCGACGGTGGGGACCGGGACCAGGACCAGGACTGGGATGTTGTGGCGCCCAAGCGGCCCCGACTTGGGGCGGGAAGCAAGATGGGAGGCCGGAGACTCATTGTGGTGCTGGAAGGGGCCAGTCTGGAGACAGTCAAGGTAATGTGGAACAAGAAAGTGGGGAGCTAGTATAGCGGTGGAATGGGTCCCCGTGGGAGGAGGCTGAGGGGCTCCAAGTGGAAGGAGACAGCAGAGAGTGGTGAAACATGCTTTTGGAGGAAGGGTGGCTTAGTCGACTGTCTTTTTTTTTAGAGAGGAAGGGAGAGAGAGAGAGAAACATCTATCAGCTGCCTCCTGCACACGCCCTACTGGGAATCGAACCTACAGCCCGCGCCTCTGCCCTGACCGGGAATCTAACGGGGGTCTCTCAGTCCATGGGAGACGCTCAGTCCACTGAGCCACACAGGCTGGGCGTCGACTGTCTTTTGGTTAAGGTACTGGGTTGGCAGTACTTGTTTTCTTTTACCCTTATTGGTTCCCAATCCAGCCATCACGTCCTTGCTTCCAATTGATTTACCAGGATTCTGTGGTATAAAGTAATCTAAAGGGAGAGGAGTTGAGTCCACTTCCGTGTCCCACATTATCGCACAAGTTACTAGGAAAGGAGAAAGGTGATTACCATAGCTTAGTTAGCCCATCTTATTGTTTGTAGGCACTTTGTGTTTTATAAAAGGTGTTTACTGTCACTTTCCATTGTATTACTACTATCCACAGAGGAGCACTGGGTCAGGTTACCATTTAATACTTTTACACCTTTATTTTCGTTGATCATTTGGCTCTTTTTCTGAGTAATCCAGCGATTCTGTCTTAAAACTTTGTGCTGTGTTCTTATTCCCTCTGACTCTCTTGTTTCTCTTATCGTTGTAGGCCCAGAAGAAATAGCAATGGTTTAGAAGTCAGACCTGGATTTTAATCTTGGTTTTACACTTATTTTAAGCGTGTGATCTTGAGAAAAATTGGTCCTCAGTTAATACTTTACAGGGAGAATGTAATGAAAGTGCTTTAGCCCTGGCCGGTTTGGCTCAGCGGTTAGAGCGTCGGCCTGCAGTCCAGAGAGTCCCGGGTTCGGTTCCCGCTAAGGGCACGTACGGTTGCAGTTTGTCCCCGGCCCTGGTTGGTCGTGCGGTGGCAGCCACTTGATGTGTCCCTGTCACATCGATGTTTCTCTCTCTCTGTCTCTTCCTCTCTGTCCCTCCCACTCTATCTGTACAAAAAATGGAAAAATGTCCTCTGGTGAGGATAAAAAAAAAAAAAAGAAAGTGCTTTAAAAGTAGTACACTTCCGCCCTGGACAGTTTGGCTCAGCGGTTGAGCATGGGCCTGCAGACCAGAGAGTCCCGGGTTCAGTTCCTGCTAGGGGCACATACCACAAAAAAAAAAAAAAAAAAAGTAGTACTTTTCCATGGTAATCTAGGGTGTGATTCTTTTTCACCATTTTTTAAAAGAGATTAAAAAATTTTTGTTTATTGATTTTAGAGAGGAAGGGAGAGAGAGAGAGAGAGAAACATTGATGAGAGAGAACATCAATTGGCTGCCTCCTGCATGGCCCCCAGTGGGGACTGGGCCCACAACCTGGGCATGTGTCCTGACTGGGAATCAAACTGGCAGCATCTTGGTGCATGGGTTAACACTCAACCACTGAGCCACACTGGCTGGGCTTTTTCACCTTTTCTCCCTCAACCACCATGGCATTTTATTAAGCTTGCAATCTAGCCCCCCTCCCCCCTTTTTGTGTTCTCCTGTAATTTATATTTCTAATCTAATTATAGGTTCTTATATTTATCCCTCACTTAATTGCTTGTTATCTTTCCAGCCTATTCATTCTGAATGTTAGTTAAACACTCCATTTTTTCCTGTGTCCCTTGGGGATGGTAGTAGTCCCTACCTTACTGGGTTGTTGGAAAGATTAAAGGAGTTAATATATATAAGGGAGTTAGAATAAATGTCTGTCACTTGGAAATAGTTATTATTTAAAAAAAAATTTTTTCTTCTTTATTGACTTTTCTTTATTTTTTTAACCCTCACCCGAGGACATTTTTGCATTTATCTTCAGATAGAGTGGAAGGGAGAGAGGAAGGAAGAGAGAGAGAGAAACATGGATGTGAGAGAGACACATCGAGTGGTTGCCATCCACTCGACCCCAACCAGGGCTGGGGACAAACTGCAACAGAGATATGTGCCCTTAGCGGGAACCGAACCTGGGTCTCTCTGGACTGCAGGCTGATGCTCTAACCGCTGAGCAAAACTGGCCAGGGCTCCATTTATTCTTTATACTCCAGCCTCACTGGCTTTCTTTAAGCCCTTTGAAAGCATGAAGTTCTTTTATACCTTAAAGCCATTGCATATAATTATTGCTAACTGGAAGCTCCTTTTACTCAGCGCTTTGTTTCATTAATTTCTACTTAATGTTCACTAATTTAACAATTATTGAGTTTATTACGCTGCTCATTCTTCAATTAATAGGTTAAATGTTACTCCCTGGCACCCTGCCAGTGTTGCTCAGTGGATTGAGCATAGTCCCATGGATTGAGAGGTCCTGGTTCGATTCCCAGTTGGAACACATGCCCAGGTTGCAGGCTCTATCCCCAGTAGGGGTGTGCAGGAGGCGGCCAGTCGATGTTCTCTCTCATCAATGTTTCTCTTTCTCTACCTCTCCCTCTAAAATCAGTAAAGGAAAAAAAAGTTTCATAAACCATCACTTACCATTACTACATGTGAAGTACTCTGATATTTTCTTTTCTGTTTCATTAAAAACTCTTGTTATAGCCCTGGCCGGTTTGGCTCAGCGGTTAGAGCGTCAGCCTGCGGTCCTGAGAGACCCGGGTTCGGTTCCCGCTAAGGGCATGTGCCTCGGTTGCAGTTTGTCCCCGGTCCTGGTCGGTTGTGCGGGTGGCAGCCACTCGATGTGTCCCTTTCACATCGATGTCCCCCCCCCCCCACTCTACCTGAACAAAAAATGGAAAAATGTCCTCGGGTGAGGATAAAAAAAACACACAAAAAACCCTTGTTATAACTTACTAATGGGTTAAAGCTGGATTCTTTTCAAGAGGTTCTTTTTCTTCTATAATGGAGAGTGTCCCATGGTCTTAGTTCTTGACCTTTGTTCTTTCTGTGTTTACCTTGTTATTTCAGTTATTCATTTAATTTCAAAGTCCACGTGCCTCTCCCCTCACTTTTTGGAGTTGTATATCCTTTTTTTTTTTTTTTTGGTACGTGCCCCTAGTGGGAACCGAACCCGGGACTCTCTGGTCTGCAGGCTGACACTCCAACCACTGAGCCCAACAGGCCAGGGCTTGAGTTATATATCTTAAGATGCTGTTAGACATACAGATGTCCTATTGATACATAAAAACTTAGCCTTTCAAACCTGTATTTGTACTTAATGTTTTTTACACTTTTTACTGACCATCTTAATGTTCCTTAGGACTCCAAATTGCAATTTACAATTATTTCTTTTAGCTGTTACAGATGGATCCAGAGATCCTTAGTATCAAACTTCTAGTAGTATATTTTCCATTATACACAGTGTTGTCAGGATAATATTCCTCAATCCTTCTCATGCTCCTGTTATTCCATACTTATTTCTGACTTTGTGCTGGATACTTGAGTATTCTGCAGTGTACAAAGCAGTTTCATATGTAATCACTGCCCTTAAGTGTTTCAGTTACCACTTTTCAGCATAATTTTCTTTCTTCATTTTTCTGCTTTAAAAAAAATTTCATTTAGACCTTTGCTCACACGTCTTAAAACTAGGAACAACTCCTCTTATTTGTTTTACTTCTGACAGAAGTATTCCTTGATTAAAGTATCTCCTGCATCTTTAGAATTTTCACATTTTTCTCATTCAGATGTGCAGCTCTTCACTCAGTACATGTTTGTTATAAGTATACTGAGGGTAATGACCATGTGTATATATATATATATTTTTTTTTTAATCCTCACCTGAGGACATTTTTACATTTATCTTCAGATAGAGTGGGAGGAGAGAGGGAGGAAGACAGAGAGAGAAACATGGATGTGAGAGAGACACATTGAGTGGTTGCCACCCACACGACCCCAACTGGGGCCAGGGACAAACTGCAACCAAGGTATGTGCCCTTAGCGGGAACTGAATCCCAGTCTCTCTGGACTGCGGGCCGACGCTCTAACTGCTGAGCCAAACTAGCCAGGGCAACCACGTATATTTTGCCCAGTATATCACAGTGCTCCTGTGATAAACAAGCATTCAGCCTTTCTTATTAACCTTACTCCACCTGGTTCCAGACTCCCTCACCAGCTTTGCCTAATAGTTACAGGTTTTATTTTATTCTTTTTTCCCTTTATTGATTTTACAGAGAGAGGAAGTGAGAGGGAGAGAGAGGTAGAAACATCAATGAGAGGGAACGTCGACTGGCTGCCTCTGGCATGCCCTCCACTGGGGATCAGGCCCACCACCTGGACATTTGTCCTGACCTGGAATCGAACCAGCAACCTCTTGGTGCATGGGTCGACGCTCAACCACTGAGCCACACTGTCCAGACTTATTTTATTCTTATTTATATATTGTAGATAGAGTGGGGTGGGGTGGGGTGGGGAGAGAAAGAGAGAGACAGACATTGGTGTCAGAGAGACACCATTGATTGGTTGCTTCCTGCATGACCCCGACTGGGGCCAGGGATTAAACCCGCAAATGAGGTACGTGCCCTTGACCAGAATCGAACCCACGATTCTTTGGTCCGCGGGCTGATGCTCTAACTGCTGAGCCATACCGGCTAAGGTAGCCACAGGTTTTATTTATTTATATTTTATCCTCACCCAAGGACATTTTCCTATTTTTTTTTTTTTTTTGGTGGTACGTGCCCCTAGCAGGAACCGAACCCGGGACTCTGGTCCTCAGGCAGATGCTCAACCGCTGAGCCAAAATGGCCAGGGCTATTTATCTTTATCTTCGGATAGAGTAGGAGGGAAGGAGAGAGAAACATTGACTTGAGAGGGATACATTGACTGGCTGCCTCCCACATGACCTGGACCCCGACCCCGACCACGGCCAGGGATGAACCGCAACCGAGATACATGCCCTTGACTGGAACCGAACCTGTGACTCTTTGGTCTGCAGGCCGACGCTCTAACCGCTGATCCAAACTGGCCAGGGCTAGCTACAGGTTTTAAAATGAAATAGTTTAAATAATATGAAATCACAGGTTGTGCCTTCTTCCCCTTTTCCTCTAAGATCGGTTATGGAGGGAGGGGTGGGTAAGTGTGGCCACACAATGAACCTCTGAAGGGCTTGCTGGGCTCTACCCACATTGCTTCTGGTTCAGGAAATCTAGAGTGAACCTGAGAATTTGATTTACAAGTTTCTAGGTGCTGCTGCTGGTTTAGAAACCACACTTTGAGAACAACTGGGCTAGGTAAAAGCAGCTTATGTTGTTCTGTCATGTTTCCTTTTCAGGCAGGGAAGACATATGAGCTACTAAACTGTGACAAGCACAAGTCTTTGTTGTTGAAGAATGGACGGGACCCTGGGGAAGTGAGACCAGACATAGCTCACCAGGTAACTCCAGGGACAGAGCTCACAACCCCTTGAGCCTTTAGATAGGAGGTGAAACAGCTGCGTGCTACTTCTCCGCAGTCTTTACTGTGCCTTGGTGTCTGCCTCCCTCAGAGTTTACTGATGCTGATGGACAGTCCCCTGAACCGAGCTGGCTTGCTGCAGGTTTATATCCATACACAGAAGAATGTGCTGATTGAAGTGAACCCTCAGACTCGAATTCCCAGAACCTTCGACCGCTTTTGTGGCCTCATGGGTGAGATGTTTAGAACTTAAATTTTAGGAGTGAAGAAGGGAGGTAGAGGGAACATGATTGATCCCAGAACAAGGACTCTTCATTACTTTCCATGTGTAGGAGTAAAGCCTGCATGGCTTTCTGGCTGAATAAAAATGGGAGAGCTAACCCATGAGTGTACACAGCTAGGCATGTGTGTGACAGTTGCTTGTTCACACGTTTTAGGAGTACAGTGTAGCTAAAAAGGGCATGTGTAGCCCACCTTACCTATGGGCTTTTCTGGTTAGATTACTGGGCAGAAATGTGGTCTACACCCAGCTCTGAATTCTTTTTTCTGCCCTAGTTCAGCTTTTACACAAACTCAGTGTTCGTGCAGCTGATGGCCCCCAGAAGCTCTTGAAGGTGAGGTATGGACATGTATTGGTTGGAGGTAGGGTTCTGAGAATGATTCTGGGACTCATTTTTCTCTTTTACTTTAGGTAATTAAGAATCCAGTGTCAGATCACTTCCCAGTTGGATGTATGAAAATTGGCACTTCTTTTTCCATCCCAGTCGTCAGTGATGTGCGAGAGTTGGTGCCCAGCAGTGACCCTATTGTTTTTGTGGTGGGGGCCTTTGCCCATGGCAAGGTAAGGTCTGGGCTTAACTCTTAGATTCTTCATAGAGTTGAAGCCTAGTAATTCTGAGAGCAGTTAGCATTTTTTTTTTATCCTCATCCGAGGACACCATTTTTGTTCAGGCAGAGTGGGAGGGAGAGAGAGGAAGAGAGAGAAATATCAACGTGAAAGGGACACATCGAGTGGCTGCCACCCACACGACTCACCCAGGGCCGGGGACAAACTGCAACCGAGGTACGTGCCCTTAGCGGAAACCGAACTGGGGTCTCTCTGTACCGCAGGCCAATGCTCTAACCGCTGAGCCAAACTGGCCAGGGCAAGCAGTTAGCATTTTGATGAAACTTGTCCTCCTCAGTGGGAAATAGAGAGTAAGAACAAAGCTGGAAGGCGAGTGTGTGTTCCCTAGCCCGCTCCAGAACATATTCTTTGAGGACTGCTGGCATATTTGTAATAGTCAAAGCTAGGACCTTCTTCATCCTTTGTACAAATTTAATATTAAATAGCACAGTGAAATATGAGCTCAGCTCAATTTTCCTCTCCTAACAAAGGACTGAACCTGTTACAGAGTGATAGAGTCGACTGACAGAACTGTTCTCTCCTCAGCTCAGTGTGGAGTATACAGAGAAGATGGTGTCCATCAGCAACTACCCCCTTTCGGCTGCTCTTACCTGCGCAAAACTCACCACAGCCTTTGAAGAAGTATGGAGGATCATTTGACAGTAGGACCTTGCTCTGAAACAGACTGTTGCCATTGCATTCCTTGACTCTTCCAATTTACTTTTGGAAGATGACCTTCCTGCACCAAGACGGGTTGGTGGAAGCTGAGGCTATACATTTGCTATTTGTTTATCTTATAAACACTGTTTTTGCAAACCTGGTTGTTCTCTGGGGATTCCTAAACTAAGTATCTAAGGGTGTAAACTGTTCTTTCGCCTCAGACTTAAGAGAAAAGTGTGAGGTTACAGTGTTTGTAGTTTGGTTCCGGGCCTTGCAGGTGGGATTTACGCTGTGATTACTGTGCTCTAAAGGAAACAGCCCTGATTGCTGTAGCCATGGCAAGCATGGAGAACTGTCTGAAAGAAAGCAGCCAGGAATGCTAACTGAAAAATTGAACAAACAGAAGTGATTTTATCTGGTACAGTTCCAAGGTAGAAAAAGTGGAGCAGGCAGGGCCTTGTGTCCCTCCCAACCCCCCCATGGGGGGAGTGGTGGTGGCACATATACAATCATAGTAAATTGGCAGAAGAAAAACAGAACAGATTCCTGGCTAGAGGGGGAGAGATAAGGCAACGTGCATGGGGGAGCCAAGAGGGGAGACATGGGCCCCTCTGCTCCTCCCACAAGAATTTCCCCTTTGGCCCAAATGAAGACTTGGCAGTCAGCAGAGGCACAGCTGGGAGTGCCATGTCTTCCCACTCCCTGGCTTCTGTGTTCTCTGTGCTCTAGGGTGAAGGAGTGTCGAAAGGGAAACAAGTTGTTTCTGCACCAGTCTTGCTGTAGGCCACCTGCAGAAGAAATTTGATTGGAAGGCTGGTCCGAGTTACTCCTTCTAGTCCCTGGTGTATAGCCATTCTAGCTTATTCCTAGCATGTTAAGTTAGCCAGTGCCCCCATACTGTGTTTCCTAGAAGCCAGGCTACCTTGAGATTCACCCCAACTTTCCAACACTATTCCTCCCACCTCCCAGTCTATTGCTCTGTTCTGTAACCTGGTAGTCTCAGTTTAGGTGCAGGGATGTTAACTTACCAGGGACATAAGTTATTATTCCATTTTCTTTAACTTCTCTTTCCTTGGCACCATTGCTTTGTGAAGATAAGGCAATATGAATAGTAGGCTCAGGAAGAAAACATGACCAAGGAAATAGACAGATTTATACACCTGTGGAGAGAGACGGGCCACTGAGGTAGCCGGAGGGCATGGTATATAATATCCCTTGATACTTGAGGTTTTAGTGGTTCCCTCCCATACTTGCAAGCAGGCCTTCACTTACCTTAAGCCATTTGTCCCATGTGAAGAGGCAGAAGGCAGTCATTGAGTAACCCATGAAGAGCCAGTGGATGGTTTGCTGCACCAAGTAGTAAAAAGGTTGTAGGACAGTAATGGAAGCGAGGTTGCTCAGGGTTGGGCTGTCTTGAATTAGGCTGGCAGCCTGGGGAGGAAGGGAAGAGGTTATCACTGTCTTTTGCCTCTTCTCATTCCCCTTTCAGCCACCACCCTTAAGGCCTACCTGTCTTTCCACGATAACAATGAGGAATTCCATCTGGAAGCAGACCAGGTATCCTGAGTGTAGGCCATGCCAGAGGGCCAAGAATAGCAATGAGAGACCCTGGGATAGTTCTTTATTCCCAAGGAACTTGAGTCGTTTGAAGAAGTAACTAGAGAAAAGAGTGGGTAAGGATGAGCCGAAGACCAGCCCTTGCATTCTCACCATCCTGCCTCTGGGTTCTCAGAGCCCTGAGGAGTACAGTGATGGTGGCTGGCTCCCACTTGGGGCCACCTGGGGTAAGGGAGGCAGTGCCATCTGATTAGCTTTAGAGACAAAAGGCAGTGAAGTTGACTCAGTTTAGAGACAGAAAGTAGACCTAAGGCTTGGCTGGGTGAACGTGGGCAAGCCACTTAAGTGACTAGTGCCTACTAAGTGCCTGATTTTGACTTGCAGTGAGCAGGGCAGACCGACTTTCTACTTGTACTTACACTCCAGTGGTGGGACAAATAAACAGATGTTTATAAACAGGACAATGGAGAACATAAAACCAGTGGCTGAACTGGGATTAAAACCCAGGACTCAAGGCACTTACACGTCTTTTGTTTTCAATGACAGGAATTTTTTGGGGGGGAGGGGTAGGAGTAGAGACACATGTTTGTAGGGGTATGTGTGAGAATGATTGTAAGTTCTACCCAAAGTGGGAAAAGACAGAAGTGACAATATATTTCTGCCCTCAAATCTGGGAAAGTGGTAGAAGGCAGAAACTCATGTCCAGACCTCCCCTCCCCGCTGCTTACCGGGACACCCAGGCATTGGTGTTGATGTTGAAAGAGGCGATGGTGCCGGTGAAGCGGGGGGTTGTTTCAAAGAGCCACACCTTCATGTTAGCGCAGGCATCCCATTTTGCCTTTCCATTTTCATCAAAGTCATTGAAGCCCAGCCCCGTCAAAATGCATACTCCTTCCTGAGGGAAGGACCGACTCAGGGTCTTGCCACTCTGCTTTCCATGTCCCCCACAGCCTGTCTACACCCTATTTCATCTTTTCTACTTACTGTGACCAGCCAACAGGTGACATATTTGTACAGCACAAACTTGCCCCAGATCAGCATGTACATGCAGCGGAACCAGAAAAGGCGGTTCTTGAGGGAAGAACGAACATGTGCATTAGGCCAGGCGAATTTTCCCAATGTCCTTCCTTTCCACGTGTATGGCTGACTACTTCATGTCCACCTGACAGTCTGCCTGACTGCCCTTATAATAGGCTATGAGAATGAGCAGGGAGCCCAGTGAACATCCATTCACCTCTTCCTTGGAGAGTCCCAGAAAAAACCTTGTCCTTAACTCTTCTTCTGAAGTACCGAGCACTTGGGACACTAAGTACCGAGGGACTTCTGTATTCATGTTCAATGTTAATTAAGGAGACCACTGACCTAGAGTGGGTATGGAACTATTGCAAGCCTTTCAGGTGGGTGGGAACAAAAGCCAGCACTACCCCCTCCCTTGGATTCTGAATTCCCTAGAAGCCCCCAATCTATCCAGAGAAGAAACAGGTTGGAGAGGACCAGAAGCTGCTATGCTGGGCAATAATACAGCAAGCTAAGAGCTGCTCCTGGGAAAGGTAAGGGGTGCTGAAAGTGCACCTGGCACAGCCCTGTGCCCACGAAGGTCGTTCAATGCTGGCTGATGAACATGTCCTGGCCCGGCTGGCACTGACACCAACTCACAGATCTAGAGCAAAACCAATATGCATTTGTTGATGGTGCTTCCCACTTCTTGGTTATCTACGGGGATCCTTGCCTGCCCATTATCTATCTTGGATGCAGTCACACTGCTGCTGCTTTAGTAGCTACTCACTTCATAGTCGTCGGTGAGGAGATAGTTTTCTGTGATGTGGGGACTGAGCAGAACGTAGCCCACCAGGTAGATAAGGCCCAGACTCAGGCGCTTGAGAGCAGGTACCGTGCTGGAAAGGAACAGTGGGGTCACAATGTGCAGAGGCCACTCTTTTCACCCTCTGACCTTAAATCATGGAGGGAGCTATCTATCTGGGATGGGATGAGCTGTTCCAATGCCCAAAGTCTATATTCAGTCTCAGAAAGACTTCTCTATGTGGTTGGACATGAGGAATGGTGAATGCAGGGAAGGAAGGGCAGTGGGGAGGGAGTAGTGTGTCCAAGTCTGTGGTGCTTCCCCCCAGGCATCCTACTGATCTCAAGGTCTGACCAGTGTTCTTAGTCTACAGCTGGACTGAAAATTCAATGCATAGATGATAACGACCAATTTTGTTATTTTTAATTTTTATCCTCACCAGAGGACATTTTTCCATTTTTTGTTCAGATAGAGTGGGAGAGGGGGTGAGAGAGAGAGAGAGAGAGAGAGAGAGAGAGAGAGAAACATCAACGTGAAAGGGACATATCGACTGGCTGCCACCCGGACTACCAACCAGGGCCGGGGCCAAACTGTAACTGAGGTACATGCCCTTAGTGGGAACTGAACCCAGGTCTCTCTGGACCGCAGGCCGACGCTCTAACCGCTAAGCCAAACCGGCCAGGGCTACTTTTTAATTTTTTAAAAATCCTCACTGTAGGATAATTTTTCCTTTCATCCTTAGATTGGGTGGGGGGCATCAACGTGAGAGAGACACATCAACTAGTTGCCTCCCACATGACCCTGACCTGGGCCGGGGATGAACCGCAACTGAGGTACATGCCCTTGACCAGAATAGAACCCGTGTCTCTGGTCTGTGAGCCAATGTTCCAGCCACTGAGCCAAACCGGCCAGGGCAGTAATGACCAATTTTGAATCTACTCCTTCCTATCCTGGTTGAACTGATACTCAAACACAGGCTGGACATGTTCTCAGTGAAGAGATTTTTCTGGTAAGTTAAGTTTTCTACGGTGATACGTTTTCTAATAAATTATTTTTTGTTAATCCTCACCCAAGGATATTTTTCCATTGATATTTTAGAGAGTGGGGAAGGGGGAGAGAGAGAGAGAGAGAGAGAAACATCAATGTAAGAGAGACATTAATTGGTTGCCTCCCACAGGTGCCCCGACCAGAGCTAGGGTTCAAACCTGCAACCTAGGTACATGCCCTTGATGGGGAATTGAACTCACAACCCTTTGGTGCACGGGCTGACATGACACTCTCACCACTGAGCAACACTGGCCAGGGCAAAAATCTTTTTTAAACTGAGAAAATGGGTTTTAAAGGCAGGGACATGACTGGTTCAGGTAAAATCCAGTGACATACAAGTGAATTTTTATGTTTGTACCACAGGGTCAGAATGGATGGCTGGAAGTGACCTAAGCTGAAAAGGGCCCACTGCCCACAGTAAGCAGGTACAGAGTGCCTGTTACGACAGTCCAGGGTCTGTGTGGCATGAGCCTGGGAGCCAGGGGTATGTGGAGAACGCAGCCAGGGCTGGTCCTCAGGAAGGTCACTTCAGAAGTGGCTTTATAGTGGGTGAGACACCTACACAGAGGTCTTGAACAAGAGGGGCACTTACCTGTTTGGTACCACCCCTGGTATGTCAGTCAGCTGTCTGTGCACCAGCTTCATGTAGTGGTTCATTGAGAACTGGGGCCCTACCAGGAAGGCCCCATAGAAGTAGGAGAAACCAGCAACTTCCAGCAGCGAAGGGACACCCCGTATGGCATATTTCTGTTGCTCAGAGGACAAGGAATTCTATGCCGAGAAGAGAATGAATGGTTCAGGATAACCTTGAATCTCCCTGCAAGAGCCAGTCTGTGTGCGCCCCTCCCTTTCTGGCCCACTGAACTGGTTCTTCAAATAGCCTTCTCTGAGGAGATGATGTGGAGAAAAGTGGTTGCTTCATGCAGAAATGAGTGTGTGTAGCAACAGTTGACTGCTGTTGCTTTTCCAAATGCCTTGCTGGCATTGATCTCGGGACTTTGTTCGAGAGCTGGATCTGGGCAAATTAGGTTTGTTGATCCTTGCTCAGTGCTATCTGAAACAGATCAACAGGCTGGGGATGAGGTGGGGCTCCGTCTCTGGCATTTGGGTTCAGTCTTTTGGTAACAATAGGCTTTCTCCTTCCCTCTGGTTTAGTTCATTAACCTCTTTGTGAAGGAATTTTTCTTACCTGATCTTTCCCTCCGTCAAAGTAGTCAACAGCCAAACCTGAGCAGAGAGAGAAGGTGTGGGTAGAGTAGAGGGGGAGGACACCAAGGATGTGACCTGTGGGCTGAGGGTAGCAGGAGTGTCGGGGGGAGAGCACAGAGTACGTTTATGGTCAGATGGGGAGGAGCCTAGGTGTAAAAGGGGAAGGAAGTGACCCATTGCTTACCAATCAGTTTCAAGGTCAGAACACAGTGAGGCATTGTCCACTTGATATCATAGTTGTCAGTGGCTGTATTATAATATCCGGCAAGAAGGTAGGCCTAGGAGAGGGAATGTATTTATTCTATTATCATTATGATTTATTTTTTTCCTGCTCTGAAATCCAATGTATTCTTTTAGTTTTCCTTTCTCCTGGTCTCATCTTTAAAGGTCTTAAGTTTCTATAAATGGAGAGAGTGAAACAGTAAAGGGAAAGAGACTTGCCTCAAGCAAAATGAAGGCTAAACTGAGAATTTAGATGCTTAGGTTCTGTAGCTCATTCTAAGTTAATATTCTTCTGCCTTGCCTTTTAAAAAAAAATCCTCACCTGAGGATATTTTTTCCATTGATCTTTAGAGCGTGTGGAAGGGATGGAGAGAGGGGGAGAGAGAGAAACATCGATGTGAGAGACACATCAATTGGTTGCGTCTTGCATGGTCCCTGACCAGGGCTGGGGATTGAACCCAGGTCCATGTCCTTGACCGGCAGTCAAACTCGTGACACTTTGGTGTGCAGGCTCGCAATCCGGCCACTGAGCCATGCTGGCCAGGGCCAGCCATGCCAATAAGTGACTCCCCTCATGGATAGCTGGGCTAATCCTGGTCAGAACCTTAATGTACAGTCCTATGCAAAGGATTAGCTGGCACCTCTTCCTTGAGGTGGGTCAAGTATTATTGTCACCTGCAGATGAAACACCTGGGGCCCATGTAAAGTGACCTGCGTGAAGTCATACCACTAAGTCTTATTGGGAGAACGGATTAGAAATTAGATCTCCCAGTTCACTGCGTTTCCTACACCAGTCTCTGTCTCGTCTCCAACCCTGAACTGCTGTCAGCTGTGACCTTGAGCTGCCAAGGAAAGATGTTTACCATCTGGAAACAAAAGGTAGTGAGAACGGCAGTGATGGTGCGGCCCATTAGTCGCAGGATGAGGAACTGAAGGATGACACATAGCAGGGAGTGGTACAGCTGGTTTCCTAGGTGCAGAAGAGAGCAAATTTTAGCCTTTTTTTCCCCCATTCCCACTCATCCTGAGACTTCTAAACACAAAGAAAATACATAAAGAAAAAAAAACTATTTTGGTATTAGGATATTTTTGTCAAAATAGCCTCATATTCTGGAGGAAGGGAGGGAAATTAATTGTATAAATAGAAGGGACTGTCAGGCAGTTACTGTATTTTTGAAGGTTTGAGCCCAGGGTTGCTCCTACGGGGATTGCTTGGATCTGTCATCCAGCTATAGCCACAGCAGAGAGAAACTGATGCCTCTCTGTTGATGAGGTCTGGCAAGGGTAACACTCAAAATGTTTTATCTGGGAAAGGATTGTCCACATTAGGAGAATTTAAGTTATGTTCTTGTCCATACAAACCTTCTCTTTGCAAGTTAACTTCCCCATCCATCAAATTCTCTCCAAGAAGTTTTGTTCAAATCTGTTCTTTCCCGAGGTCCCTCCAATCACAGCACCACTGATAACTCAGTTTACTCACCAAAGTTAAAATAAGCAATGAAGAGGCCTGTAAAGGTGTGGAAGAGGTGGATGAGGTAGCTGTCCTTGTAGAAAAGGTAATGCCGATAAAACAAAGCCAAGGGGTAACCTGAGGGGAGATAGGAAGACGGTTACATGGTTAGTGCTCTCCCAATTTTGTTTTGGAAGTTTATCTGGCATGAAACTTAGCCCAGAGAGAAAAAAAATATATGATATGGATGTTAATAGAGAAGATGATACTAATATCCCCAAGAATCAAAAGTCTCTTTGTAAATACACATTTAAAACTGAAGATAGTTTTATTTTTATTTTTAAAAATCCTCACCTGAGGGTATTTTTCCATTGTTTTTCGAATAGAGTGGAAGGAAGAGAGAGAGAAACATAAATGTGAGACACATCAATTGCTTGCCTCCCGCGTGACCCCCACCGAGGCCAGGGATCAAACCTACAACCCAGGTATGTGCCCTTGACTGGGAATCAAACCTGCGACCCTTTGGTCTGCAGGCTGATGCTCTAACCACTGAGCAAAACTGGCCAGGGCTGAACATACTTTTATATAGAGGCATACAAAACTGGGTCCTAAGGCTAGGTTTCTCTTATAGCCTATAAAATATCGCTAGGAATTTTTTCATTTTTCTTCAATAATACAAGAATTGAGGGTATCCAACTGTGCCCAGAAACATTATTTTATGCTTTTATAATCTATATAATTTTATCCCCTGTCCTGCTAGTAAAGTATTATCAGTCAGATTATTAAGAGGATAAATATAAATGATCACAAGGCTACAAACTGGTATTGCTGACTGCGTATACAGTTGCACAGCAGTTACAGGATATATGTGGATGCTCCTTGCATACTGAGGTCTGGGCATCTACTGAGTTAGAAATCCATTAGGTATAATGGAAAAATGTGTTCTAAAGCTGTGATTCTGAGTATCACAGGACCACACAGGGGCCACAACTGAACTATGGTGGATCTCCTGATGGGCCATGGACTGATTATGGATGGCCAAGGATTGCTTACTGAATAAAGAGGGTCAATAACATTAGGTATTTTTAAACTAAAATTAGTACGTTCCATGGTGTTACTACACTTGCATTCAGTGTTCTATCAAGAGGGTGATGATATGCTTGGCAACATCTTAATGTACCAGTGCTCATGTGAAGAACTGGAATCCCAACTGTGTTTTGGAAGGACAATTTACCCATCCTATCATTGCACAGTGTTCTTGAGTTGCTCATGGTTTACAGTTGCTATTATTCTTGCTTTAAAATTATAATTGCAGTTAGTTTACCACTGGCAATATAGTCCTGACTTTGGTTAACTCTGCAATGCTTAGAAGAATGTAGTGTACAAAGAAAGTGCTCAAATATTTAAGTAGTTACATGGATAATCCTTTCACATAACTGGCTTATGTCCTAGTCTTTTTCCTTCATACTTTTTTTTTTTAAAACTTATGATCATAGCCTGTGTACTTATGTAACCTAATTTTTCATATAACAATGTATCCACCATTTGATCTTCCTGATGCCAGGATTTGCTGGTGTTACTTTGACTGCTGTTTGCATAATAGGCTGGAATCTTCATCAAATTTATAGCTTCACGCAAGTAGCTAATTTTATAGATGTCTTGTGGATTACTGGCTCATTCATTCATTCATTCATTCATTCATTCAACATGTTTAATTAAATGCCTACTATATGCCAGGTCTTCTGTTTATAGATCACATAATGAGGGACAAGGTGGTATATGACGGTTTATTTTCTAACTGGCTAAGGTGAAGTGATACAGGATTACTAGCTCAAGGGAGAGGGAGACAGCTATGACCCTTTCTCAGTCAGATGAATGAGCAAAGAAATAGGATCAAGTCTCATACATATCACATATCAAATTTGGCAGGGACAGAACACCACATGAGCAGCAAGTATTGCTAAGAACCAGAGTCAGGTACTAGAAAGTATATAGAATAAGATCTGACTGCCTTAAATCCTTGGCTTTTTAATGTTTTAGGTATTGGGGTATATATGAACAGAAACAATAAATAGGGTATATCTTAATTATCTAGAGTACTCATAAATAAGTCCTGGATAGCTAAGAGTTTACCTCTTTAAAAGAGCACTAAAACCCTTAACCAATTGGAATCACCAAAACCCTGAATTGTTTGGAATCCCTGAAATTAAAAAAAAATGCAATACACATTACTTTGCTCCCTTAAAGTAAATATAATTTAATTCTTTCTTGGTGATGTGGGTCATAACTATTCTAGAGTAAAATCATGATGGCTTTATGACCTGTTGAGTGTGTAAAACTGTTTGCTCTAATTTTAGTAGGGCCTACACTGTCCTGCATTCTGAGTTCTTGTATCCATTTCTTAGGGCTTTCCTGTCCCCTTCCTTCCTTTCATGGATCAGTAGTCACTTCTTGAGCTTTCAGTGTGCCTCCCAAGAACAGTTGTTTTCCCTATGCCTAATTTACTGCAGGTCTTAGAAACCATAAACTGCCCTGGCTGGTTTGGCTCTGTGGTTGGAGCGTCAGCCTGTGGACCGAACAGTTGCAGATTTGATTCTGGTCAGGGGTATGTGCCACAGTTGTGGTTCAGTCCCTGGCCCTGATCATATGGGAGGCAACCAATCGATGTGTCTCTCTCACATCGATGTTTCTCTCTCTCACTCGCTCTCCCTCCCACTCTATCTGGAAAAATATCCTTGGGTGAGGATTTAAAAATAAATAAATAAATAAATAAATAAATAAGAAACTATAACTTTGTTTTAAATGTGTAAAAAAAAAAAGAAGACAAGAGCAAGGGTCTTGCAGCTTTCCTTATAGACTTAGTGCTTAGCCCGGTAACATCTGTTCTGGCCACTCCAGACCATTTGTGCTATTTCCCATGTTCATGTTTATTTTGGGGGAGTGGAGGTTGTTGAGTTCCACACAGGCAGGTAGAAGTATTATTGCAAACTAGTAAACACATGATAAGGAGATGGAGCAATTGGCAGAAGAATAAAAAGAATGCAGCAGGCCATTAAGGTTACCAAGAACATTAAGATCATAACAGAGAACAGCAAAGCCTGGATCGAGGCCACAAAGGGAAGAAGGAACTGTGCTAAGGAGAGTTGCTGTGACAACCAGAGCTGATTTTGAGTGTGTAAACACCAAACCTTGTTCTTGGCTGCTGCTCAGCTCAGTAGGCTTTCGAGCCTGGATGCCCAGTCACCCCTTTAAGGATGTGCTGTTTTCTTTTGGACAGTGTTGTCCCACAAAGTGTTTCTGAGCCTTAATACTTTTTTTGGGGAACCGATGCTTAATATAGTGGCTACAGTCACCTGAAAAATCTTTAAAAAACAATGAAAGTACCTCCTCCCCCTCCTCCCTACCTGTCAGTCTGATTCAGCAGGTCTGAGTGATCTAGTGTGCAGCCTGGGTGAAGAAACACTGCCTTACTAAAATCCTAGTGCAAGGCAGCAGTACTTAGGATTCTGAGCTTGATGACTGAGAGTTGCTATCTTTCCTGTAATAGCACCTAACAGGCAGAGGTTTGTTTTGTAAACCTGATCGGGAGGTTTTTAAGAACTTGTTTGGCAGTACTATAACTGTTTTTTCTTTTTGTTTGTTTAAATGAGGGCCTTCAGAAACTTATTAGTTGATAATGTCTTAACCTACCCCTTAAACCCAAGGATCCCATATCTAGAATGGGAGCATTTCAAGAGTAACACCTAGGGCGTTTAAAATGCTATGATCTTAAAGCAGACTGCTAAGATACACGGGTTCTGATTTTGTTCAGGGGTTCAGGTCGTCAAGCACATGGAGTGTATCCAGCTGTGTTCTCCAGTCAGTCACTGGACTTCTCTGAGTGCTGTTGGAGTCAGGACCTAGGATCTACCACAACCTAGTTTCTAGTGGAATTCCGTCTTCTCTGTACAGTTGTTGTGAAATTACTTATTAATCTTAGAGATTCTGAGGTTTCATTTGAAGAAAGAGAAATAAGCTGTTTTCATTAAAGTTTGGTTAATTTCTTTGCCTTTTCATCCTGCAGAGCTATTTCTGGGTTCTGTAGGGATAGGATATGATCCCATTTGATTAGTCAATAAGACTCTGGTGAAAAGAACATTGAGTATGTTTTGGCAAGTGTGAGGGAGAATATGGCATTAGGACTGCTATATGCTGGCAAAGCCAGATATTGGTACCAGTCTGCGAAGGTCCTCCCTGAAGATTGAGGGGTCCCTGTCCCACACCAGGCTCTCAGCTCAGGGTCCCAGTGCCAGGAAGAGAAGTCCCCATCACTTTTGGCTGTAAAACAAGCAGGAACTGAGGCTGAGGCTGCTGGAGTTACAGGCAGTTCCTCTTTTTTTTTTTAATTCTCACCCGAGAACATTTTTTTTCATTTATCTTCAGATAGAGCGGGAGGGAGAGGGGGAGGGAGAGAAAGAGAGAGAGAAACATCAACGTGAGAGAGACATGTCGAGTGGTTGCCACCCACACGACCCTAACCAGGGCCGGGGACAAATTGCAACCGAGGTACGTGCCCTTAGTGGGAACTGAACCCAGGACTCTCTGGTCTGCGGGCTGATGCTCTAACCGTTGAGCCAAACCAGCCAGGGCCAGGCAGTTCCTCTTAAAGGGTCTGTACTGTCCAGGCTCCAGGGGCAGGGAGGCAGCTTTAAAGGCACTAGAGACATATGGGGAAGAACTGAATTGTTTGGCATTGGGGCGAGAGCTGGAGAAGCAGCTTTTTCCTGGACAAACTTGCTGTGGGAGGCCCTGTTCCTTTGGTGAGCCCTTCCCTGGGGCAGCAGAGGCAGCCATATCTGAGACTCCGGCAACCTGGCTCACGTGGTTTGCCCCGCCATGGTGATTCTCTGAGGCCCCGCCCCACCCAACCTTTGGGCCCACCCAAGCTGTTTCCAGTGGCTTTACCATAGGATTGGCCTGTCTTGGATCCTGCTTCAGATTTTCCTAAAATCTCTCAAACAAGCAGCATCTGGTCTCAGGGAGCCCCACACTTCTAGCTAATGGCCCCAGGCCTGGCCCTAGAAACAGCCAGTCTTTGTTCACAGCTTGGCTTTGCCAGGGCACCTCCAAGCCCAGCACAAGCAGCAGCAGTCTGCAGA